AGCGGGGACGACACCCGTGCAAGCCGGCAGGTACGAGCTCGGACCCCGAAGACACCCCGAGACCAGGCCGCTGCTGCTGTAGACGCTGACACTTCGGCACACCGACCGGCGTAAGTTTGTCCACCAAGGTCAAGCTTAAGTGTACTGTGTAGTGTACATGTTGTATGTATACATACGGCTCGAGTGCGTGTCGTCTTGAGGTTGGAAGATCGCTGTAGGTTTGTCTCGTGTAGCACGGTTGAATTTGTTACGCCATTCACTGTAACATTTGTGTACGCGCGCGCGCGCGCGCGTGCGTGCGTGCGTGCGTGCGTGCGTGTGTGTGTGTGTGTGTGTGTGTGTGTGTGTGTGTGTGTGTGTGTGTGTGTGTGTGTGTGTGTGTGTGCGCGCGCGTGTGCATGTATGTGTGTGTGTGTATGTGCGTGCATGAGTGTGTGTGTGTGTGTGTGTGTGTGTGTGCGTCTGTGTGTGCATGAGTGTGTGTGTGTGTATACATATATGTGCTTATTTGTAGTTCAGCTTAGTCAGCATGGCCCACGAAGACAATTCGTGAGCCCTAACTCTTGTGATCCCCCATGCATTTCTCTGGCCCGAAATGTAGGTCATGTATGAAGGCCTCAGACGGCAGAGCTAAGAGCGCTCCCTGCACATTTCCCATTCACGCCCTGAGCGCGAGCTCTGCACGCGAAGCCTCCGTAGCAGGCTTATAGAACTGGAGGTTTGGTGGTCTTCGGCTGTTTTCTGATTAGCCCAGCAAAAAAACGGGGGTAATTCAACCAGGCTGGCTATGTTTTGTCTATATGCAATCAGAAAATAGCACATAAAAGATCCCAAAGATCCTGAAGGGAGTTTGTCCGTTGAGATAACAGTTCGCCGCCCCACTGTTCTCTCAACGGACAAACTCCCTTGGCATGCTTATCTCTCTATTTTGGCCGATTTCTACTCTTTCCAGCCGCTTCCACAAGCCTGGTAGAGGCCACTGAAGACCCCCCAAAACCCCCAGTATTTTAGCATGCTATGGAGGCTCTGCACGCGAAGGTTGGCATATCTCCGCGCGGCGGGGGCCTGGCTAGCGCTCCGACATGCCTCATGTCCACCTGTACAGCCGACACTGCGAGAAAACAGCTGTCTGCCACAAGTGCAAGTACAAGGACTGGCGCGGAGATAAGGCCATGTTGATTTGATTATATGGATGACATCCTCCGGGAACCCCAAAACTGATGCGCGCGTGCGAATAAAAAAAGTTTTGCAAAAAAAAAGTTCTTTTCATTATGAAATCTACGTGGTCATGAGGGTTGAGCAAATGGCACAGAATATGGTTTGGCGAATAATCTAGTCTTCAAGTTCATTTCTTTACAATTTCGTCTTTTTTCGTTTGATTTTGGCATTCTACGACATTGGTATAGTTTTTATTAATTTTTTTTGTAATTTATGGTATATTTTTGCTCATTTTGCAACTGTTTTGTACGATTTACAGTATGGTTGAAAACTTTTTTTTTTTTGGAAACGGCCGAAAATTCATGCGCGCGCGTGGATGTCATCCATATAATTAAATCAACATGGCCTAACCGAGGGAACGGGAGAGTGGGCCGGCTATAAACTATCCGCGTATTTGTATGTGTTGCCTGGCAGTCTTGTAACCGAGAACATGAAACACGGGGAAGGCAGCTTACTTGAGGGTTTCAAGGTTTTAAACCAGCTGACAACGTTCTTGTAAACTATGTTGTTATAGAGATAGAAACGTGCCAATGTCATGCCAGTGTCTATCTCTAATACTTAAACAGAGGTTTAACCGAGGTTTTAAGCCAGCTGACAGCTTCCCTGTAGACTACGTTTTGTACAGATAGAAGTGTGCCAATGTAATGCCAAGTCTATAATACAGAAGACTTGCACGTGTGTGTGTGTGTTTTTAACAATAGATGTTAGTGATATGTAAGGTACCTGACACAGTTTCCTTGTAAACTAATTACGTTGTTGTAGAGATAGTAGCGTGACAATGCAATGCCATGGTCTATGATACAGAAAACGTAAACATGTTTTGAAAACAGTACAACTACGTTCAACCGAGGTTTTAAAGCCAGCTGACAGCTTTCAAAAACTACGTAATTGTCTTAGAAATAAATGCTTGCCAATGTAATGTCAGGCCTATGGTACAGAAGACATGGTTTGAAAACAATACAGCCAGGTTAGTGATATTTAAGCTATCTGACACAGTTTCCTTGTAAAACTGTGTTGTAGAGATAGAAGCGTGACAATGCAAGGCTGTGGTCTATGATAGGGGACGTAAACATGTTTTGAACACAATACAAACAGGTTCAACTCAGGTTTCAGGATAGAAAGTGTGCCAAATGCAATGCCAAGTCTATAATACAGAAGACTTTTGGGTGTGCTTTTCTAACAAGAGAGGTTAGTGAGATTTAAGCTAGCTGACACAGTTTCCTCGTAAACTACGTTGTTGCAGAGATAGAAGCTTGCTAATGTAAAGCCAAGGTCCAAGATACAGAGGCTTTAAATCTTTGTTGAAAACAACAGAGCCAGGCGGACTAGTGATTCACAGGATAATGACGAGTGCCTCAGGCTGACAAATGTACCGTACTCACCTGTCAAACAGAGTCGGCAGGGTTGGACAAGTCCCATTGCCCACTTGCCCAGGGCAAGTAAAAGTACTGTTCGGGCAAGTAAATATCCCCCTGGACTTGCCCAATTGGGCAAGTATATTTTTTGGATGCAAGGTATAGCCCCTACCGTATTTCGACCAAGTTTCAAACAATTTTGATAAATAAAGCATCCAACATTATAAACTCTATTATAATAAAATAGTTTCCTTCCTGCTAGTAAAATGTATAGAAATGCGTCATATTTTGGGCAAGTGAAAAGTTGGTTCGGGTAAGTGGAAATGACCAGGTACTTGCCCGATACGGCAAGTGGATTTTTGAAAACTTGTCCAACCCTGGCCGGGGACTTGCGCCTTCGCGCTCAGTCGGCTGTGCGAGCTCACGTTTCCCCCCAGGATATACTCTCCAAGCAGAGGTTTGGGTTTGGGGGGTATTTTTAGCGTGTTTTTAGGCTTTTTTTATCGTGGTTTCTCTTTTGCACTGAATTTTTTCCCACCAAACCCCCCAAAAATTCAGTGCAAAAGAGAAACCCCGATAAAAAAGCTTAAAAACACGCTAAAAATACCCCCAAACCTCTGCTTGGATACACGGGTACGGGACTACAGTTTCTCACTAAGATATTCGTTCTCACGAACGCAGACAGTCACACAGCCAGTATTCACTTTTGTAACACTCATGACCTTCGCCAAGAAGGTTATGTTTCCAGTAGCGTTTGTCCGTCTGTCCGTTTGTCTGTCTGTTTGTCTGTCTGTCTGTCTGTCTGTCTGTCTGTCTGTGGACAGCATACCTCAAGAAGCTTACTAGTAATATGCATTGTCATGAAATTTGGTAGGTGGGTAGGTCTTGATAAGTAGCCTCTACCAGGCTTCGGGAGGCGGCTGGAGAGAGTGGAAATCGGCCAAATAGAGAAATAACATGTCAGAGGAGTTAGTCCGCGCGGTGAGAGAGCAATTTGCCGCACAAACTGTTCTCTCACCGCGAACTAACTCCTCTGACATGTTATTTCTCTACTTGGCCGATTTCCACTCTCTCTCTCCAGCCGCCCCTCGAAGCCTGGTAGAGGCTAGAGTGAACTGAAACTACCATTGCAGTCTGCCAGGATCTCTTGGATGTACTGCAAATAGATGTGTAGTAGGTTGGCGTCGATTGTTCACCTTCTTAGCTGTACCTGTACAGCCGGTATAATCGCCCTTCCTATACCTAACCTTTGCACATCTAACTGTGAAGGTTGTTTGAAGCTATCTCTGTGATGATGCCCCAACTGTACTTAGCGGCAGTGAGTTCCACCCTACGATAGTTCTGGCGAAAACCGAGATTTTGAAAACCTCAATTTCTCGGTTGTTAACCCGCTCGTGTGACTGAAGACGAACAGTTTCCGGTGGTGAAGCGTTTCAAAGCGTTTTGGAACGGTATCATGCACCGTTCCCAGTCTAAAATGGGCCTGTGGTAGCCTCTACCAGGCACCGCGGATTGCTGGAAAAATAGTAGAAATCGGCCGAAATAAAGAAATAATATACACGGGAGGTAGCTGACCAGAGAAGATCCAATTCGCGACCCACGGCCGGCTACCTCCCCTGGTACTAGTATATTATTCCTTTATTTCGGCCGATTTCTACTATTTTTCCAGCGGTCCGCGGTGCCTGGTAGAGGCTAGGCCTGTGGTACTTGAGGGCATGTTAGCTACTTGTCTACAATATGCCTGGCGCTCACGACCTTTCGTAAATATGTTTACGTTGGTGAGAAGCATCTATACATAACACAACCTTTTGTTCCTCGGTGTTAGAGCTGTGCGTGAGTGACAGGCGTGGGTGAGAGGACGTCAGAGAGAAGACAGGTGTATCGTGTTTAATGTAATTCCGTACGTCACCACGCTACATGATGTCTGATTGCGATGATTTTTTTTAGCTAAAGCGTATGGACCACATTCATATCTGTCTGTCTGCACTACCCTCCACCAGACTCTTTTGCAGGCTGAATAAATAGCAAAAATTGGCCTAAAAAGAAATCTAACTGGCCATGGGGTAGCCGGCCATAGAGGGTCCGATTTGCCTGCACGGATTTTGAACCCTCTATAGCCGGCTAACTCCCCGGCCAATTACATTCCTTTTTCATTCAACCTGCAAAAGAGCCTGGTGGAGACGACCTTCGTCAGGATGACTGACCCCTTTTATGGATGTATCACATGACCATTGGTCACGTGGGAAATGCAATTGGTCAGTCGTCCTGATGAAGAAGGCCACGGATTCAGTAAAAGATTTTTGGGTCCTGATTTTTCAAAGATGATATGAATAATGTTACCAATAATGTTACATGTAGTATATAGAGTTATATATACATGTAGATTTTATAAGTAATGTTTGGATTTTTGTGTCTGCCGTTTAACAGATGATGACACAAAACACGACGGCCGAGGGGAACGTGAGCGGGGCGACACCCCCGCCGGGACCCCGAATGGTCCCGCCCAACCCCCAGCTGATCGAGGCCTTCAACTGGTTCAACGTTGCCGTGGTAACGGCCATCATGCTGGCGATGGGCTGCACGCTCAAGCTGAGGGAACTCATCCGGGTACTCAAGCAGCCCTCACAGGTGTGTACGAAATGATAATCTCCAAGCAGATATTTCGGTTGGGTGGCAAAAGACCGTATCCATTGGCCATCCTGTATCCATTGGCCATCCTGTATCCATTGGCCATCCTGTATCCATTTCCTAACCGAAGGCTAATGGACACTCCTCTGGCCAATGGATACTGTCTTTCCACCTAAAGATCTGCTTGGAGATTAACGAAATGATACACATGATACATGTACCCCGTCATAGCCAGCACGTCGGCAGAACGTACTGCGCCTGATTTTTCACGGTTTTCGTTGGATGTTTGGTCACCGTTGCACCGTTGCATCGTTTGCTTGTTGCAGAGGATACTAGTATCGCAAAAAACTGTATACAGAAAGAAAACTAACTATCAAATTCTGGACGATTCAGACGTTTACGTGCCCACGCAGAAATCTTTTATCTGTGGATGAAGCAAGCTTAAACTTCAGACAAAGGTAGGCATTTGCCGGGCTCCGATTTGGCTATGCATGGGGGTTAGACAGGTTAGAAAGTTCTGCGTGGGACGTATACGTACGCAGACAAGGCCGCAATTATCGGCAGCCTTGACCCTTGTTGTACGCAAAGGTACGCAAAGGTCGCTACAGACGTCTCAAGGTACGCAAAACGGTACCTCCTTGTCTCCTTTCCCAGACGACCGCTACGTGAGCAGCCTCTTCAGCTGAAGTGTTAGAAGTTGTTTGGGATAGATTGTCTCTACCAGACACCGCGGATCGCTGGAAAAATGGTAGAAATTGGCCAAAATAAATGGAATACTATACCAGGTAAGTTAGCTGGCCAGCAAAATGTACCCTTTCTGGCCGGCTAACTCCCCTGGTATGTTATTCCCTTTATTTTGGCCAATTTCTACTTTTTTTTCCAGCGATCCGCGGTGCCTGGTAGAGGCTATATGGGATAGATTGCACAAAAGTCTGTGTTGTTTTGACAACGCTATCAGAAGCTGCCGCGGAACCTTGTGCAGAGAATAAGCAGCTGGCGTTTGAAAAGTAACTCAGAGAAACCCTGAAACACCTGCAAACGACGTGTGTGTGTATTGAACAATGCTTGTTACCCTGACGTTGGCATTAAACATGTGCGAACGCACTCTGTCTACGTTAGAACTGAAATACCAGCGTCCATTTGAATTTTCAACCCAGCCGGGTCACCACTGGATTAACCCTTTATGTTTTCAGACATGAAAGTACTCGAGTCGTGTTCTTGTTTCTGTCTAAGTCGTGATTCTTGTGTCATTACCATATGTGCTAGCGGTGTAGCTTGTAGAGAACAAACCAACCAAACGCTTTGCCTTTTTAACTTCACACAGAAGTGCATTTGGAACCTTGACATCTGTACACACGTGTCATTTACACTTGAACAAATCTGTACTCTGTCCGTGAACTAAAACTACTAGTACAGTGAATTCGAAGCATATTTTTTCCATATTTATTATTAGTATTTCATATGAAATGTTATTGTGTGTGTGTGATTTTTTCGTGTGATTACGTATTGATATTAATATTGAATACATAAACCAAGTACTTCTAACGTCGATGAAGGTTAGACATCCAGGTAATACGATATGCCAAGTACTTCTAAGTCGTTGTTATCATTTAAGATGATACGGTGAAGAAGACACCCAAGGTAATAAGATACGCCAAAGAAATGCAGTTACTCAAGCAACTTGAAAACTGTCAGATGTATCTGTATCTATGCAGCCGATATAACCGGCCTTCGGCGCAACACACCAGCTTCGCAGGCACGCGGCGCGGCGGCCGCTTCCAAAATCATATCCAGTTGCTTGAGTAACTGCTTTTTGGCGTATTGTATTATCTGGATGTCTAACCTTCATCGACGTAACGTTAGTAACGTCTTTTTCCTGCCAGATTGATCGCCGTTTCTTCGTGGGGGTCGCGATCGGCTTCCTGTGCCAGTTCATCGTGCTCCCCCTCGTCGGGTTTGGACTCGCCCACGCGCTGCAGTACTCCTCCATGACCGCTATGGGCGCTCTTGTGGTGTCCTGCTGTCCCGGGGGAACCACCTCCAACCTGCTGACGTTCTGGAACCGTGGTGACGTGGCGCTAAGGTACGTAGTATGCTCTTCTTCTATTAGCTCTTTACAGTCACGTGATCGCGACGTCATTGGGCGTCCGCCATGTTAGTTGGTTAAAGACGATGGCGAAGTCAATGTGTAAAAAAGTTGTAAACTTTTTATTTCTGTCAATCTCAGTATGTCTGTTATCGTTTCTTATCACAATAACTGATCTCTTTTTCTTTGTCTCTGATCACAGTAACTGTTCTCCTTTTCTTGGTTCCTAATCACAATAGCTGGTCTCTTTTAAATCAAAATAACCGATCTCATTGCAAGTAACTCCTTGGTTAAAGAGGATTGCGAAGTCAATGTGTAAACGTTTTATTTCAGCATGTCTCTAATCATAATAACTGGTCATGAAATATTTTTCTTCGAAATATCTCTAATTACAATAGTTGGTCTCTATTAAATCAAAACAAGTAAAATCTGAGATTTTATACCTCCGGGCTTTTTATTGTATATTTTTCCATGTTGTTTGTTCTGTATAGTTGATGGTGTTGAATTTTATGTGTTAGATTTAGCGTTCCTGGTTGTGTTAATACAGGACTGGTCAACATTTTCATCTGCAGCCCATACCATGTACCCACGGTAAAAATGCATGTCGAGAACGTCTGAGACAGTATACCACGGTATTTGTAAGTTAAGAAGTCGTACTATACGCCGAAAACATCCAAGATTGCGCAAGAGGGCGTTGACCCCTGACCCATTGGCCCACCCGGAAGTTGCGCTGGCAGCCAGCCCAGCGCCGCGCGCGACCATTTTCAGATTTTTACGCCCCAAAACACATATACAATAAAAACAAAAAAACCTGCACCATCTACAGCCCATTAGAAGAACATACACCGAGTCCAGTCTACCCCAACGCGAGATACAACTGCGATAATATTTCAAAATACATATCGGAAGCAGACACCCCTCTGTTTGACCCCTTTTAAATGGTAAGACCCAAAACTGAAACCTCCCCATTCCTTAACAACATGGTAAATTCCATTTTCAGCATGCGGGGGTGTCCGGAGCACTAAAAACCTTTTATTTCGACGCCCATAAACACATATACAATTAAACAAAAACGTTCTGCATCATCTGCAGCCCAATAGCAATACGTACACCGAACAACAGACCAATCCGTCCAGCCGATCGCGAGAAACAGCTGCTGACAGAAATGTTTCGAACAATAGTAAAACCTCCTCGCGGAAGGATGTCTCCTTCCCCGGAGGTAATAACTGGTCTCTTTTTCTTGTATCACCACAGCGTAACGATGACGACAGTCTCCACGGTGCTGGCCATGGGCATGATGCCGCTGAACCTGTGGCTGTACTCCCGCAGCTGGACGCAAGATGTCGCTGTTGTGCCGTACAAGGAGATCGTCGTCACGCTGGCCATGATCCTCATCCCCGTCACCGTCGGCATGCTGATCAAGTACTGGTTCGAGAAACTCGCCAAAGTCATAGTTATGGTGAGGCCAACACGTTTTATTCGTAGCCTGCATTTTTAAGCTCTGAGCGGCATTGTCATTTTGGGAAAAGGTAGCCTCCATAGCATGCCAAGAACTGGGGGTTTTGGGGGTCTTCATGGTCTTTGGGAGCTTTTATGTGCTATTTTCTGATTGCATATAGACAACATAGCGGGGGGTGGTGGGGTCGTGTGGCGTAGCGGCAGAGTGCGCGACTCGGAACTTCGAGTCCCGGGTTCGAGTCCTGACATGCCACCGATCTTGTGCCCTTGGGAAAAGCACTTTACACGACTTTCCTCACTTCGCTCAGGTGTAAATGAGTAATGTCCTGTCATGTATTTGTCCCCTGTGTTGGTGGCGGCATTAATATAAGTTGAAAAAACTTGAGTGTGTCGTCACCACGTCTGGTGATTACATGTTGGGATAAAAAAACAAAAAAAACATAGCCGGCCTGGTTGAATTACCCTCGTTTTTTTAGAACTGGGCTAATCAGAAAACAGCTGAAGACACCAAACCCACAGTTCTATAAGCCTGCTACGGAGCTGAGGCTAGGAAAAGGTTGCAAATGATTATATACCAATTCCAGAAGGTTATTATTTCTCACTACTCATTTAAACACTAAGAAAAAGAGACGTAATGAGTTATTATGCAGCTAGGTTATATGTGTGATTGTGCATATGTCCTTTATGTGTATAGAGTTAAGTCTGTGTTGTTTTATTGTGTATTGTTTTTATGAGTTTGTAAGCCTGAAATAAAGAAGAAAGAATGGACAGCAGTACGAAGAGGCAAGATCAAGCCCAGTATAGATACAATACATTGTACATAGATTCTTGTAAAGAACGCAACATCAGAATAAAATCGTAACAAATGGTTTATTGGCCTAACATCACCCGTGCAATTGCAGCCTTATAGTGCTGAATTGATGCAGGGTTTACAATCGGATGATAAAAATGGTAATAATACACATAATAATACACATGATACATATTTGTTCCACATTTTTGTGGAACTGTCGCAAGGGTCTTTGCGGCTGTCATTCGGCGCCACAAGGTGACCTGAATACGGCTTTCCCCAACCGAAGTTATGTACCCATTCACACCTGGGTGGAGTGGGGAAATTCGTGTACTGAACGCAGCCATGTACATAGCTGAATGTCTTCCTTCCCCAGATCGGCAGCGTGATCGGCCTGCTGGGTATCACCACGACGTTCGTGCTGAGTGTCGTCATCAACCCGGCAATGTTCAAGGTCTCGTGGAACGTCTGGGTGGGCGCGCTACTGCTGCCCATCGTCGGTCAGTCATCCTGCTTGTTTGTTTTGTTATTTTTTTTTACAGATCTTTATTAAGTATAACTCAATACAACGCACAGCAATACATGGCATAATGTCAAGAGTGCACCGAAAGTACATCGAGCATTAGTCTTACAGGTAAAATTAACCACAAAATGATTACATAATGTTTGTTTGTTTGTTTGTTACTAGGGTAGAGATAAGGTACTAATAGCCTGGGCGCCATCCTGTTTGTATACCGGGGCTCCCATGCGCGCTCCCTAAAATGCAGAGTATGGGAGCTAAAGTATATAAAAAGGATGTTACCCAGGCTAGGGGTAAAGAAGAGAGTTACAGAAATTTACTCCCCAAGGAGAGAGTTGGGCTTTGTACAAAAAAAGAAAGCCCAATAAAAATGCCTAAAACACGCCAAAAATAAGCCAAAGCCTCTGCTTGGAGAGTATATAAAAGAAGAAAAATAACTCTATTGCACGACAATTGCACAAAGTACAATGTATGGCAAACTACATAAAGAAAATAACAAACAATGAAATAAATGTGTTGAATAAGACCTAATGTCGAATAAAACCTAACATATCTTAATTTCTCAAACAATAAGGGCTAGCACAAGTCTTTGATAAAGTGTTGCAATCGAGTGGGCTATATATGAGTGCTCATCACGTGTGTTTATGTATTTTTTTCCGCAGGTGGCGTGCTGGGCTACGGCGTCTCTAGCGCGCCCTTCCTCCGGCTGAGCCACCCGCGGCGCCGCGCCATCGCCCTGGAGACGGGCGTGCAGCACGTCACGCTCGCCGTCGCCATCATCCAGCTCACCTTCGCCAAGAAGAAGCAGTTCCTCTCCGAGCTGCTCGTCTTCCCCATGCTGTACGCGCCCTTCCTGGTGGTGCTCGGCTTGGCCGTCACCGGAATATTCCGGCTCTGGCTCGTGGCGACGGGACAGAACAAGAATCCGGAAACCGGAGCCGGGGACAAGTTCGCCGACAATCCGGAAAACACCGGAAACTTGGAAAAGAACGGAGTCGCAAACATCGTTGCTATGGAGATTGATGACGAAGTTCACAAGAACAGGTCATAGAACTGGAGTAAATATAAGCCATAGATTTATCTAGATCTATCATAATCTTGTTAACATCAACGGATATTTCATAACCACATAGGCCTTCTCTCTTGCGCGAAGGCCTCCCTCACACCATTTTTATAATTCCAAAAAAGATTAAGATGACCATTGCGTGACCATGGAATCCAAGGCACTTCGCATCTACAACTTACAAGTAACGCTTCCTGTTTTTAATCGTGCGAATCTCATCTTCATGCAGCCTGGGTGCCATCCTATTTGTATACCTGGTTTCCCATACACAGCGAGTATACAGATAGGATGTCACCTAGGCTAATCTTTATGTAGTGAGATGACTGATTCTGGAACGGGAGACTCAATGCCATCACCGCTATAAATTAGCCAGGCACAAATGAAATGTTCTTGACCGAGGGACGATCATATATTATTATATTCCAAAGAAAATTTACACAGCTTAGATAACGGTACAGATAGAACCATAGAACCCACTTTTACCATGGTCCCAGCTTTGGTGCATTTTGGTAGGTCTTCAAAACTGCATCAGTACTACAAACTATAGTTACTCATATCTTACACGTGACCTTACAGATCACGTGACTGACCATACAGACCACGTGACAGACATGACAAACCACGTGACTGACATTAAAGACCACGTGACAGACCTTAAAGACCACGTGACTGACCATACAGACCACGTGACTGACCTTCAAGACCACGTGACTGACCTTACAGACCACGTGACTGACCTTAAAGACCACGTGACAGACCTGATAAACCACGTGACTTACCTTAAAGACCACGTGACAGACCTGGGAAACCCCACGTGACTGACCTGATGAAGGTGAAAGATGCCAGGATCCTCGCCTATCATGTATCATGATCAGACCTGTATATAAAATGTGTTCCACTAGAAACAAAATCCCTCAGTCTCTAACGCAAGTCCAAGTGCATTGTATAAAGTCATACACTATACAGAAACATTTTTTTGTTCAAACACAAGTTTTTTTTCTTACACGGTATTGCTACATGTACATGTCGGATGAAGATGTGACAGGATCGCAGATGTAAATAGAATCTACCCCGTGGGCACATATATGCCAAAGGAATATTTTTGGGTACTTTTTTGTTTATGGTAAGGAATGGTGTATACTGTACGTACCTCAGTCTCTCTCAAGAGACGTAGTTGATAGATCGTCGTTGCGAATGTAACATAGTAACCAACATCTTGATATGTATTTAGTATAACGGTTGCCAATTAAAGCAATATGTCATGCCAAGGTAAATAAGGTACCAAACACCTCGTCTGTAACATAATACATGAGAATATATATATATATACATTACCAAATACTACCATTATCAAGGGTTGAACCTGTTATTCACAAAATTGATTTCCTATATTTTATGCAGAAAGGGGGAGGTTGTGCACTCTGTGAAAGTTATTGTAAATAGATGGAGCTTAACTGAATATTTGAGATTAATAATTTTTTCCCTAAACGTTTAAACATATTATGGAGTCTAATCGGTTGTAACTTGTATGTCTTTAGTTGTTTATGATTGTAACAGTAGTGATACGGTATTAGTTTAGCCTACAATGTCTCCCACCTTTTTCTGTTAGCAATGGGGCAGATGTTTGATGGTGAAATGGGTTATTAGATTGACCTTGATAATGTAGTTAATCAAATAATTTTATCAAGAAACGTAGATTGTTTTCCAGTCTTTGTCAGTTATACGGCAGGTATAGTAGCACAAATTGTCGGGTGTGTTTCGTACGTGTGCGTTTGTACCTTTATTTTGACTCACAATCTATACTATATTTAGATTGCGAGTCAAAAGAAAGGTACAATATGTACTATATATCTAAGTTACGTCACTGTTCTTCAAACCACCAGGTGAAATTCGAATCGACTGCAGACCAATAACTCACTAACTAACTGTAACAAAGTCTTCATGCTGAATCGCCTGTCACGTTGCCCCGTCGTCTTTAAATCACGATACTCCGTCAACATGCCTGAGATACTAGTGTCTGTAATGCTTTGATATTGTTGTAACAGCTGCAATACTAAATGAAAAATATCAAGTGATGTTATTTCTTAACAACCAAATTCTCTTCATAAGGAAAGAAACAAATTCCTGCGTATGTGCTTTTTCCCCGAAGCAGACATTTTGACGTTGTTAAAAATATGTTGAACAGTTCGAACTATCAACCTTTGCGGCAGGCTTTATATTTTGATACATTTCTCCACATCTCTTTGGCTGTGGAAAAATCTATCATCAAATTTCTGACCTTCTATTCTAAAGTTATAATGACCTTTGACCTTTATTTTGCGTCCCCGTGAATTTGTCCTCGGGAGTATTGTGACCTTTGACCGTTGATGACCTTGGTGTAACAACTGTAATTGTGTCGTTGACCTTCAAATTTTGTTGGTGTAACCTTTGGCCTTTTAACTGTTGTGACCTTTGACCTTCCTGTCGGTTGGCGCAGTGCATGTCGGAAGTTCCATTCTCTGGTGTAGTTTGAGTGTGGGAATCGCAGGCACGATTAGGTACAATGATGATGATGATGATGATGAGTTGTAAGCTTGAAACAGGCAATTTTGAAGAAACATCAGGGTGGTAATGCTGACACGATAGGCATGACGGGAAATAAAGTATTCTATATTCTTCTATTTATCGTTTTGTTGTCGTTGTTCACTATCACGGTTAGTAGGAACAAGGAGGTTAACCTCCTTGGTAGGAAAACCGGCCACACACACGTACGTCCACACACCGTGACAGACACAAGTTATGCACACGCGTACACACAAATACACATGGACACACGTCCCGCACACGTACACACGCACAAACACACGTTCACACTTAAGCAACGACGTACTAGTACACACGCTTGCGCACACACATACACACGCAGGTACACGCACACACACACACACCACATACGCACATACACGCGTAGACAGCTTGATACACATCCACAAACACACACAACCTGTCATACTTTGACACAGACCACGAACACTCGTATCTTCGTCCTATCTTTGACTTCAGTGACACGACAGGATTGATTGATAGATCTATTTGTCCTTCACATGTCACCAACTAACTCATCACAGTACAACTTTGAAGTCCCGCCAAACACACAGCAACTTTCTTTAACAACACCTCAATAGATCTACAAAATTTCAACGATACCCACCGACGGCTTCTTAACTGTGTGAACATTTTTAATAACAGACGTGTGCGAAACAGTAGGAGATCAGAGCAATTACGACGACAACAGGAGGTAGAGTAGTAGTTAAGACCGGTTTTACATCACCAGACAAAGGGTTTTGGTTGTCAGTTATCTCTCTATCAGTCGCTTAAAGCCCCATGACTGCTCCCTTCCCTTAGGCGACACTTTTTTGTCAGCAAACTAAAGTGGAAAATATCAGTGAAAGTGCAAGTTTCGTGTTTTACAATAAATCATGGAGAGTGACAGGAAAAATGACAAAAATTCGTGATACAGAGTTAGCAGCTTGTTAATGTCACAAAAGAAGCGATTCTAAATGGTTTAGTCACTAACACTGATAAGGCTCAGCTAAGTAAACTGATATAAGATGTGATATGAGGAATTATGGCTCAGACGATTTTATCACAAATCACATCGTCTGTGCAGGTCCCGTACAGTCCCTTCGTCTGTGAACTCAGTCCTTTTTCTTTTAAAACTAACGCCGTCTTTTAAAAACTGAAGGTTAACTCATCAAACTTCTTAGACAATATTGCAGAAGGTTCAAACAAAGATCGTTGTGAGCGTTTTTGATCACATGATGTCGTTCTTTTTTTTACAGAAATTACGAGATTTGACTTACAAAAGTTTCACACCCAAACACACAGAAGGCACGTACACGTAAATGAGAATTTGAAGGCTATTGTCTAGGGTACGCCTAGGGCTACCCTGTGCCTTAATAGACTGGCTACACCCAATAAGGTACGGTTCATGTATCCGTAGGCTAAGCCAGGCCGAACAGGCTAGCGTCCCTCACTCGGAGGGCAGGCGGCGTCCACTGAGGAGGTCTCCGAGCGTCTGTCGTCTGCAAATCGGTAAGTTTGGCTTGTTCGTCTGTGTAATATTAGCCTGGGTGCCAGACAGTTGCCAGGGCCAACATACAGGCTAGCTCCTCGGCATCAGGACTAACATGTTCTAAAGGAAATTTTACCATGGACTCCTCTCAGTTAGACCCTGTTCGAGAGATGATATTAGACCCTGGGAGTTATTTCTGGGATCGGGGCTTGTGGCTTTCCCCAGCCGAAGGGAGTATTGTGTCGTGCCGGGGTCTGGCATCTAGGCTATTGTATTAGCGCAGATACAAAACTTAACCTCAATAGGCATTGAAACTTTATGTTTGAAACGCTAGCTATTTCGTGAGGTGTGTGGCATTCGGTCGTATCAAAGACGGTATTAGATGTCGGTTTTGTCGGCCCCGTCGTCGCTAGGATAGGAATAGGTTGTAAGTGAGCGATTCACGATCTAAGAGCCCGGTCATATACATCGTGCAATTGTCGCACGATCGTGAACTGGGGGCATTCTGGGGGGATACATGTCGTCATGCAAAATTCAGCCGTCTTGTTAACATCCGTGTCCATAATATCACCAGGGTCCATAATATCGCCACCTTCAGAAATAGTGTGCTTAAAGATATTTTTACAATTGTTGTGTCAATAAAGAATCTTCTTCTATGATATTTTTACAGCAACATACTTTTGGTATGCACTCCTGCACACCTCAAGTGTACATACCTAGGGTATGTTACAGTAAAAATATCTTTAAGCACACTGTTTCTCAAGGTGGCGATATTATGGACCCTGGTGATATTATGGACACAGATGTTACGGAAAAGGCTGACTTGTTGGCTGTCAAAATTCAGTTAAGGAAAAGACTAAGACTGTCTTAGACCCTTTATAGCTTGTTGGCTGTTGGTTTTATCACAGCCTGCTTGCTGAAAGTTTCCGTCATCAAAGTCGTACAACGACGTCCTCCGACGAATATGTCCCCCACGCATAAGATCCCTGCAAGTGTTTGCTATAAGTGTATGATGTTTTATCAAGCGTCGCGGGATAACCACAGAGTAAATAGGAATATGCTAGCTATGATCAACAGGCTTTGGGTAAGGGCAGGTGTTAATCTCGTTAATCTGTGTGCATAGCTTGGAGGGAAGTTTGGCCACGCTATACTGTGTACGACAGTTTAATTCCATGTCTACGGAATGTGTTTTTGCTGTTTTAATTTTGTTCTGTGGTGAGGAATTTTTGTCCTGACCTCGGCATGGTCTAATCGCTGGCCTGGCCTTCTGAAATCTAAAGAACTGTCCTTGCTTGAAGGTATCTTTAGATCTCTTTCATTGTTCTGGTTATCTGGGTGTCTATATCTATTTATCTTTAGATGCGCGACCTGTAGCACGCGAGGCGACACAAATCCCTTCTAAGCTATACCCTTTGGGGAAAGGAACATGCCCTTACCCTCACCCAGGCCAGCCTGGGTGAGGGTGAGGGCTCCGAGTTAGCAAACGGATCTGTGTTATAATTTTCTTGGGGGCATGTTGGTACTGGAGCCGAGGAACTGGCCTGTGTAGGCCCTGGAAACAATCTGGAACCTAGGCTAGCCTTGGAGCCGAGGGACTAGCCTGTGTAGGCCCTGGAAACAATCTGGAACCTAGGCTAGCCTTGGAGCCGAGGGACTGGCCTGTGTAGGCCCTGGAAACAATCTGGAACCTAGGCTAGCCCTGGGCCGAGGAGCTGGCCTGTGTAAGCACTGGAAACAGTCTGGCACCCAGGCTAGGCTCAGGGTCGAACTCTGTCTATAACTTCCTAGAGGTCATGTTGGCCCTGGAGCCGAGGAGCTGACTTATGTAGACCTTGGAAACAGTCTGGCACTCAGACTACTATCTATAGACTAGGTTAAAAACGCATTTCGTTGTCTAATTACAGTAAGCTAGGTGTTATCCTGCTGGATTTCTACATATACTACTAGGGTAAAAACTTACTAGGATGGCTCCCAGGCCAGCTAGTTAAACAGAGTGGAGGCTTAAAATAGATAATGCTACATACATTTTAGCATTTTCGTTTACATTTTAGCCTGGTATCCGGCTCAGTCAGGCACACCACAGGAGTTAATCGTTGTTGGGCAAGTTGGAGCGAAGGGCGCCGTACGTCGGTGGCGGAGGTTGTTTACACGCGTAAAAAAATCTGTCGCACGTCGACGCAGGCCAAATGATATTTTTGCCCCGTGTAAATCGGGCCTAATTAACTGCAAATTCCTACCGAGGACCTAGTTGGGCCAGGCGGCATGGAACTCCTACAGCCTCGAGGAGAGCCTGCCCAAATCACGATAGACCAGGCTAGAGCTGAAGGTGTGTGTGTGTGTGTGTGTGTGTGTGTGTGTGTGTGTGTGTGTGTGTGTGTGTGTGTGTGTGTGTGTGTGTGCGTGCGTGTCCGTGTGCGTGTGTGTATGTCTGTGTGTGTGTGCGTGTATGTGTGTGTGTGTGTGTGTGTGTGTGTGTGTGTGTGTGTGTGTTTGTGTGTGTGTGTGTGCATGTGTATTCTACATTCACACGGTCTTGATTGTGCGGATAACATCGTCTATAAACACCCCTAAAACTGGTTCGATCGCACGAAAAGATTTCTGAATTTCGTGAATCTAATCAAGTGAAATCAAATTCAAAGCGACGTGCCCAACCCTTACCCAACCCAACCTGCCCCGGCACAACATACGTAGGAAGGCCATGTTGATTTGATTATATGGATGACATCCTCTGGGAACCCCAAAACTGATGCGCGCGTGCGAATAAAAAAAAGTTTTGCAAAAAAAAATAGCTTTCATTATGAAATCTACGTGGTCATGAAGGTTGAACAAAGGGCACAGAGTATCGTTTGGCGAATAATCTACTCTTCAAATTCATTTCTTTACATTTTCGTCTTTTTTTGTTTGATTTTGGCATTCTACGACATTGGTATCGTTTTCAAATATTTTTTTGCAACTTACGGTATAAATTTGTTCATTTTGCAACTGTTTTGTATGATTTACAGTATGGTTGAAAACTTTTTTTTTTGGAAACGGCCGAAAATTCATGCGCGCGCGGATGTCATCCATATAATCAAATCAACATGGCCTAAACGACCTACCAGTCGTTGCCTTTAAAGGCATCCACTGCAACTTCATGGCGGTAAGACTGGAAATATTTCGAATGAGGCATGCACATTTGAATCAGTATTCTATACTTTGGGCATTTAAAACTGCAGAGGCAAGTCCCAGGATGAGCCCATTATTTCCTGGGTGGTACCCTAGCTAAATCATCCCTGGATCCTTTCAGTAACCATTTTTCATCACAATTTTGCTTCTTGTATGTCTATAGACATTGGGATAGTGCTGCTTAACCGTAGTGTGTACATAGAATCTTGAATTTGAAAAATCAGGTTTCCAAGTCCTAAAGTTGCACTGGATGCGTTTAAAACATGAAAAGTGGTAAGCTTTGAACACCGCACCCCGCCCCTCTTTTCGCCTGAGTAACACACAGATGCGATGCCCTAAAGGCTCTGGATCTCAATAGCTTTCAATGTCACCTCTAGACAATGAAAGGTGTGGGTAAGGGTCAGACGGAAAGGATTAGTCATGCAGTCTTTAACAAAGGCGGTTTGTTCATGCACACACCAAACAATCTCATTAAATGGGCGTTTTGTCTAGCCTCCTTCGCAGGATTGTTGTAGTCTCTACCAGACTAACTACGCTGGCTATATATAGGAGAATATTTGCCAGAAGAGTTTGGCCGCCTTGTAGGTTTCACTGGCCGTGCAGGGAAAGAAACTACCTCCCCGCGGCCGGACTCCCTTGGCTCATTTTATTCTCTCTTTTTTTGTCGAATTCTACGATCAGTATTCCCGTAGAAAGGCCTGGTGGAGGCTAGACTTGTTGAGCGGCGGTGTTACTTTTGTTTTCGGTGAGCGACGACAGTTATTCCGCGGAGGGACGGTTTTGCCGCCGAGGGAGTTTTGCCGCAGAGAGAAGGTTTCGCGCCCCCGACTCGGCCACAAAATCGTCCCTTCGCGGAATAACTCTCGTCGCTCACCGAAAGAAAATAAACTCGCCACCCAACAAGGTTAAGGCTACGTTTTGTCAGTAATCCTCGCCACAGTGCAGTTCTAAATCAAACAATTGGTTTATCGTTGACCATTTGAACATGCAGTGTCATTGCCTGTGATCTGAGCAGTTATGATATCAGCTTTCTGGAACACTCTGAAACCGCCACATTAAAACACAGAAACCCTGAATTTAAATTAAAAGAGATCTATCTAGTATTAATTACGCAATCAGTAATCTTGAAGCATGATAATGCTAGGCAAGTGAATTACTTTTTTTTCGTAATTTGTGAACCTGAGTGTTTGAATGACATCATTCTGCTTGTTGACGCGACTGTTGCCATGCCAACAGGTGTGACCTTGTAGATCGATCTGTTCGCCCCCCTCCCCATCATGGCGTCCTCGAGCGCCACCTTGCGGCTGACGTTTGTGCTGCTGCTCCTGATGCTTATCGTGGATTTTCGGGCTGAGGTGAGGAATTATACCACATTATAAACACCTGATTTTATATCATAATCACGATTTTTCATAAATCTTATGTTACCTTTTCAATGCTATAAGAATCGCCTTGCTTTAATTTTAGTTAACAGTTGCCTAGTTTTGCCGTAAACACATTGTCAGAAATGACTTGATAATATGTTTTCCCATTAAACAGGTTGCCAAAGTAACTGGATAGACTTTAGAACGGTCAGGCGTTTCTGGGAGAGTCCACTACCCTTTGTCGATACCTGAAGCATTTCAGTGCCTGTCGAAAGACAGTGGATGCTACCTGCGCCTGGCCGTTTTCAAAGTCAAAATATCTATCCAGATGCTTGAATAAGCAGTATCTCTTGCTTTGATATCTTTTAACCTGGATGGCTTATCATCATCGACGCATTATACACACAGGCCATTTGGGCTTGGCGTAAAGGTGGTGGAAAAGGTGGAGGTGGAAGTAGCCATCATTCCGGTGGCCACAGCCACAGTAGCCATGGCCACAGCCATGGAAGCCATGGTAAACATAGCCACGGAAGCCATCATCATTCTGGTGAACATGGCAGCCACCGTCATTCTGGCAAACACAGTCACAGCAGCCATCATTCTGGCAAACACAGTCATAGCAGCCACAGGTCATCATCTGAAGAGGGTGGACGAGGTACGTGTTCATTCATGGCTTCGTTGTTTTCCAACCATTAGATAGATATAACCGTTTCACATGGCCACAAGCAAGCATAAACTGTCTTACAGTGGCATCAAGAATGTTTAAGACGCGCCCGTACGCAACCGAAAAACTTAAGAAGAGAGCTTATGTCACTTGTACTTGTGGTGGCAACGCATGGGGATAGGGGTGGGTAATAAATGTTGCTAATTACTAATTTGGTTATAACTAAATTTAATAAAATGTGGGTAATAACTAATTTCTTCAGTATGTTCCTTTCAGTAGTTGGGGTTTTGTTCCATGTTCTAACTAACTAGTTAGTTGAGGCAAGTATTGTATAACTGTATTGTATAACTGGTAGCTCAACAGTGGTGCTCGCAACCTTACCATTTACAATGACACAAACAAGACGTCTGCTGAGTGTATCATGAAAGTTCATCTGTGCTGGTAGTTACATGTGTAAAGTTAAAACGTTTGGTCCAACACATAAAATTCTCTCACCTAGAGCTTTCGACCAGTCACTCTGGTCTTCCTCAGTAGACTGACCGTCAGTGAAGCTTGGCCCAGTGTTGACGTCACACTTCAAAGAAGCCACGTGACAAGCTTCACTGGGTCAGTCTACCGAGGAAGACCAGAGTGACTGGTCGAAACTCTAGGTGAGAAAATTTTTTGTGTTGGATCAACAAAAGTTTTAACTTTAAACACGTCTGCTGAGTGTGTTTTTTTCTTTCACATCTGCAGGAGGCTACAAAGGCTGTTACGTGGACCAAAGAAACCGAGTGTTCCCACATGCACAAACGTCTTCCAACAGCATGACAACAGCTGTTTGCGTGGCCCACTGCCGGAAGAATGGGTACGCCTACGCAGGTACGGGTCTGTTGTACGAACATAACACACAAAATGTTTGTCATCACCAATGTGGGCTTATTTTGTTCACATTCGTCCTAGAAGCATCTACACAGGGTTTGATGATCCAATGAAGAATAATGGTCAAATGTCAAAAACTTGTCAAGTTGAAACAAGCTTTACTAACAACAAGAACAAGTCTAAGAGCCACATAACAGCCCCTGATTTGCCAATTCTACCATTGTATCGAGCATTCTAGGATCTTCTCGGTGAAAGAAGCGTCGTCCACTCCCGGGATTTTAATGGACAAGGCAAGAATTAGAAAAATCGCCTGTACTTAAAAAGACCAATTCTTCACAAAACTGAGGCCGGTAAAACACCCCTGTGCTCATATTACGTTAGATTTAGTGTTACGTTAAATTTGATACATAAAAAATATATTTGGTAATGTCCTTAACCTTGCAGGAACACAGTACGCAAGTCAGTGCTTCTGTGGGACGGCGGCGGAGTTTGCCAGGCTGCGGTCTTCAGGGGGCTGCAACAAACGGTGCAAAGGGAACAGTAAAGAGATCTGCGGAGGAACATGGCGGATGTCGGTTTACGTGATTTCGGGTAAGGTACACGGCAGTGCCATACATGTGTATGATATGACGGTCAACTCCACAGCATCAAAAACTTTAAATAGAGCCCTCGAGGTGAAAGCAAAGTTGTGTTTGTTGGTCCTTTGCACTGCCAACTTTCAGAAGCTGTCGGACATTTCAGGTAGCGTTTCCGTAACTGTCTTTGGCGTAACCCGTATGTTGTTGAATTTTGTTTGATCCCGATTGATCTCTTTCCTCATGACCTCAATGAAAAACTGCCAGAGGATCCATTTGAGTACGCCATAAAAAACAAAATCTCAAGCAAACAAACAAACAAACATATATACAAACACAAACAGGCAAAAAACAAATCGTCCTTATTTTGCAAATTTGTGAATCTTACTAGGAGGTGGAGGAGGAGGAGGAGGAGGAGGAGGAGGAGGAGGAGGCTCATCGTCATCTGAGGAGGGTGGACGAGGTACATTTTCGTTATGGTTTGCTTGTGTACCAACCAGGTTTGTTTGACTGGTTATACAATCTTCACACCACTGCAAGCAAGCATAATCTGCCTTACAGTGGTATCAAGAAGTCTGTATGGTTGAGATAGAATGAGAATGAATTTACGCAACCCATCAACGTAAGAAGAGAGCTTATGAAGTTAGTGGTGGCAACGCAAGGGGTAATAGATTATGCTAACTTATCTTCAGTATGTTGTGGTTCTGTTTCATCTTCCAGCTAACTGTATTGTATTGTGGTAGTTCCACGGTGATGCTCGCAACCTTACCATTTACAATGACACAAACAAGACGTCTGCTGAGTGTATCATGAAAGTTCATCTGTGTTGGTAGTTACATGTAAAGTTAAAACGTTTGGTCCAACACAAAAAATTCTCTCACATAGAGCTTTCGACCAGTCACTCTGGTCTTCCTCAGTAGACTGACCGTCAGTGAAGCTTGACCCAGTGTTGACGTCACACTTCAAAGAAGCCACGTGACAAGCTTCACTGGGTCAGTCTACTGAGGAAGAGTGACTGGTCGAAACTCTAGGTGAGAGAATTTTTTTGTGTAGGATCAAAAGTTTTAACTTTAAACACGTCTGCTGAGTGTGTTTGTTTTTTCTTTCACATTTGCAGGAGGCTACAAAGGCTGTTACGTGGACCAAAGAAACCGAGTTTTCCCACATGCACAAACGTCTTCCAACAGCATGACAACAGCTGTATGTGTGGCCCACTGCCGGAGGAATGGGTACGCCTACGCAGGTACGAGTCTGTATGAGGATGACACTGGTGATCAGTGAGGGCTTGTTTTCTTCATCTTCTTCAACTTTGCCGGGGCTCAAAGATGTTATGTGAGCCCCGGCCACACCCCATATAGCCCCTGATGGGGCACTTTAGGGGGGGGAAGGCGGGCAGGCCTCCAGCTTGGCCCGGAAGGACTCAACGGTGGGAGCCATAACTACCGGGCCAGGCAAGGCGTTCCATTGGGGGATTGTGCGAGAGAAGAAGGAAGGTTTTGTTCATATTCTTTCAATAAGTATGTACATATGCACTTAGATTGATGATCCAATGAAGAATATTGGTCAAATGCCACAGCCTTGCTAAAACCTGTCAAGTTGAAAAGGCTTTGCTAACAACAATAACAAGTCTAAGAGTCACAGATATCGATCGGCCATTGATGTTTGCCTCGTCTACCGTTAAAACGAGCATGCCAGGTTCTCCTCGGTACAAGAAGCGTTGTCCGTCCGTCCGTCCAGGGCTGTTAGCAATCTCTCGGGATCGATTTACGGACGACATGGGAAACAGAAAATAGTCTTGTGAAAACTCGCCAGTTGCTTGAGTAACAAATCTCTTGTGTATTTCATCACCTGGATGTCTAACCTTCATCCACACAGAAAATAGGCTGTTTGGAAAAATACCAGTGGTTCGCAAAACTGAGGTCTTATGGTCATATGACGTTAGATTTAGCGTTACTAAAACTGAATGGTGTTTTAATGCATGTGATAATATCCGTAACCTACCTTACAGGTACACAGTACGCAAGTCAGTGCTTCTGTGGGACGGCGGCGGAGTTTGCCAGGCTGCGGTCTTCAGGAGGCTGCAACAAACGGTGCAAAGGGAACAGTAAAGAGATCTGTGGAGGAACATGGCGGATGTCGGTCTACGTGATTTCAGGTAAGGTACACGGCAGTGCCACACATGTGTATGATATGACGGCCATCTCCACAGCACCTTAGACCCCTAATAGAATCGTCGATCGAGGTGAAAGAAAATGTGGGGCTGTAGAATGTCAGAAGCTTATAATGGGAGGGACAGTCCTCCCAAGTCCATGAACATATAGTCGTACAGCCTACAGTTGGGACCACATCTTTCTGCATCATAATGTGTGGGCTACACATTATGATGCAGAGGGATATGGTCCCAACTGTCTATGTTCATGGATTTGGGATTACTTTTTTTTGCAAATTTATGAATCTTACTAGGAGGAGGAGGCGGCGGTGGTGGTGGAGGAGGTGGAGGAGGCAGAACACACTACCGAGTCTACAATGAAGCCAAGACGTACACCGAGGCCCAGAAGCGGTGTGAACAGAATGGAGGTAGCCTGGCCGACCTGAAAACAGCTGAAATCGCCGCCCTGGTCGGCAGGATGGTGGACAGTAGCAAGAACTACTGGATCGGGCTGAATGACCTCTATGTACGTGATTCTTCCTCTCACCCAGCATTAGCAGTCGGCGGGACTGCCTAGACTGTAGACAGAACGATGTCAGAGTTATGCGCTTAGGAAAAAATTACTTCACATTTAAACTTCTGTCTGTCCCTAATCGTAGTGATTGTGTCCGGTAGATTGTTCCAAAGTTCTACTGTTGATGGTAGTAAAGCTTTTATGCAGTGTGGGAGTCAGGGATCACAAGAGTGTTGTTGTGCTGGGATTTTGTCGGTACCGGTACCAAAATTAGGGCATTTCTTTAGCGTCAAAGTGTTCTTGCTGATGTTCTTCTGTAGCACGAAGGACGCTGGCATTGGTCTGACGGCGTGCCACTGGACAGCTGCAGCTACAGGAACTGGTATCCTGGAGAACCCAACAACCTCGGGAACGAGGACTGTGCGCATCTGTGGGCAGGCAGGGGCGGCAAGTGGAACGACCTGGCCTGCAGCTCAAAACAGTACTTCATCTGTCAAACAGGTAAGCTCCTTTATCATCATAGATTTAGACTCTAATTTGAAATTTCAAAGGTTTATTATGCTATGCTTCTATTCTAATTCATCACCTGCAAACCGAACATAGATGTGATTGGTAGACGTTAGTAGTTTATATAGTCTACGTCCTCTGATATATTATTTTCATGGTCTTTCAGGAGATAGGGTGACTACTGGATGTACAGGTTCTCCAGGTAAGCCAATAATCTTTGAGCAAGATAACGAGAATACGGAAATTATTGACTTTGACCAAGTTAATGTTATTACAGAACCTTCTTGTTCATCTCTTAAACTTTACAAGCTCAGATGTATTTCTGAATTTTGATAACATTGTTGCATAGATCATATAGAAACTCGTCTTCCAGCAGATTCTGTAGGGCAAGGGGAGTTTATATTGGCCACCTGTGGCAATTGGCCGCCCCATTTGAGCAATATAGACCCTCCTTGTCCCACATAATCTGCTTGTAGATTACATAAAATCCTTTTCTGTTGCCACAGTTTCGAAGCCGGAGTACAAGGGCTGTTACCGGGACGCGCCTACTCGCAGGTTCCCGAATGCTTACGAATCAAGCTCCCAGCAGTCCACAGCGAGATGTGTGAGCCATTGTAAGAGCAGGGGGTTCAGCTATGCAGGTAACGCGAATTCTCTGTTGTTTTATTTATTTATTGTTTGAATCAGGCAGAGCCCATAGACAACATAGACAACACAAAATACATAGATCTTGAAATACAATGTTGTGTTAGAAGTGACAGAATTTTACTTACAAAACATACCATCAGCAATCAGCTACATGTTTGAAGAAGTGGAGTATGTCTGCTTCCTTGTCTAAAAGTATGGTTGTGACTAAGAAAGTATAATTACCTTCGCCGAGAAGGTTATGTTTTAGATGTGGAACTCTAGTTGGAATCTGTTATGATATTCCGTGAAAAAAGATGCTATTGCATAGTGTTTTGAATTGCATAATATTGAAATAGAGATGATAACATTCTTTTTATTTTATTCGAATGTTTGTCTTAGGCACACAGTACTCGCACCATGAAATAGAGATGATAACATTCTTTTTGTTTTATTCGAATGTTTGTCTTAGGCACACAGTACTCACACCATGAAATAGAGATGATAACATTCTTTTTATTTTATTCGAATGTTTGTGTTAGGCACACAGTACTCGCACCAGTGTTTCTGTGGGACCGATCAAAACTTCCAGAACATCGTAAGGTTCAAAGTGCCAGACTCGTACTGCAACAAGGTCTGCCGGGGGAACCCTAGCGAGAAGTGCGGAGGAACATGGCTGTTGTCTGTGTACAAAATAGCCGGTAAGTAGCTAAAATACTACTTCATTGAGAGATGGTAACAGCGCTAGCAGGTATGCAAATGAATGTGACAGGTCGTTCTCATTGAGAGATGGTAACAGCGCTAGAAGGTATGCAAATGAATGTGACAGGTCGTTCTGTGTGATGTAACAAGCCTACACAGCTGGGCAGGAAGATGTCCGTGTACAACACGACAGGAGGTGCGTTCTGTTAAGATAAAGGTGCATCACAATTAGCCTCTACTCGTACCAGGCTTCGGAAACATATGGAAGAGTAGAAATTTGCCAAATAGACAGATAAAATGCCAAGGGACTCGGTCCGCATAGGGAGGAAGCAAATGTAATCCTTAATGGACCAACTGCCCTTGTATGTTATCTGTCTATCTGGCCAATTTTTACTCTTTCCAGACGCTTCCGAATATATTATTACATTATAGCTACATATTATAGTTACTCACGAGAGAAGTAACACTACACTCGGCAAACCCAATATACTGCACGAACGTACATTGAGCTCTAACCTCTAACATTGGTTAAGACGGAATACGACCATACATACCCATTCGATATTCATTAAACATCACATCATTGAATATTGTATCCATAAAGACATAGTATCTGAGTCCAGAAAATATTGAATGAAAATATTACATTATGTTGAATATCTCATTATGTTTGTCATTTTCTCTTGACGATTCAGGTGGGCCTAAAGGTATGTAAACTTGAATTTCTATTGCACTACTCTTCCAAGTGTTTTGCCATAACAACATAAGCTTTCAAAATCCAAGACAATGTCACCTTTTAACCATATAGATATTTTTGCTTCTTCAAAATGTGTTTCCGCTTCCTAATTTGATTTTTAAAAAAATTCTGCATTCGATACGATGGCCTAGTTATGGGATGAATGTTTAAAAGTATTGTGTATCTTTTACATAACCAGGACCAGGTCCTGTCAACTCCCTATGCCTGGGCCAGCTGACCTGCCCAAAAGGTATATTGCATTTTGTGAATCTATTCTTCTCTATATTACCATAATTCGTGTGTGTGTGTGTGTGTGTGTGTGTGTGTGTGTGTGTGTGTGTGTGTGTGTGTCTATTATGAATGCCGATCGAAATAGTCCACAATCTTTTATCTCCTTCATGTTTAGTCTGGTTCCAGTCTGCCCTCTCTCTGGTAGAATCAAATAGAAACTGTTCCCTCCTATGCAGAACAATAAAATTCCTTCTTCGCCTCTTATTGACAGTGTTCAAATAGGAAAATACATTAAAGAATGTTTCCATCTTAGAGAACACATGTTAGAGAATAGTTAACCTTTATTGTTACATCATACATATACCCTGTACGTAAGATAACGTTATTCACACATGTATTTAGCTTTGTTAGATCTTTAGTTAAGTTGTAGAAGACCATACAAAAGTCTCTGTACTTTTTTGTTGTGTCAATAAAGAATCTCATCTTATATTCATCACTGTATTTTCCTTACCTTTTCTTGCAGTGGGCATGTGCCAGGCGTGGGGCGATCCTCACTACATCACGTTCGACAACCGCCGCCACGACTTCCAGGGAACGTGTAAGTACGTCCTGGTGCGTCACGCCGACTTCACGGTGGCAGTTCGTAACGTCCACCGTCCCGGCAAGAGCCAGCGGGTGGCCTTCTGCGACCACGTGGAGGTGACTGTGTACGGGTTCAAGATTGAAATCCGCAGCGGCAGCGGTAGAGAGGTCCTGGTGAGTACAACGTAGCTCGCAAGGCATTGAAAATCTTTGACCGAATCATCTGGCGAATATGCACATTCTTAGCATTCTATTATGCAGCTACATTTGCCCCAATGATTTAAATCTGCAGCGGGAGCGGTAGAGAGGTTCTGGTGAGTACAACGTAGCTTACAATGCATTTAAGATAAACTGAAAGTATTTAACCGGATGGTTTGGCGAATGTGTACATAGTATTCCATGATGCGGCTGCATAATTGGCCGGCCCTAGTGATAACCTGCAGTCCCGCCCGAAGTTATATATTAGCTTTAGCCTGCTCCAAAAATTGCTCTAACCCATTGGCAGCGCAGGATTTTGGGGAGCGAATTAGAGCAACCAATCGACCCTGGCGACCCCTAGCCATCGGAATGTGCCCCTATGACGCATTGCCATTAGCATTTGTAAAGGATTTATAGCTGTAAAGGATTGCCTATCTCTCCTCAGGTGAACGGACGCCGGCGGAACCTCCCAGCCTGCCTGAACCGGAAGGTCGCCATCTCCATCAGCGGGCTGAACGTGCAGGTCCAGACCGACCACTGCTTCACACTGACGTACGACGGGAACCACCGGGTGCAGATCACCGTTCCGGAGTCGTACAAGGGAAAGGTATAGGCTAGCTACAAGGCGCAGTTATCATTCATAGTTATAATACGACCCCAGGTACGGAAACCACCGTGTTCAGATCAGCGTTCCAGAGTCATACAAGGGCAAGGTAGGCTGCAAGAGGCAGTTATTATTATTTAAGGATTAATGACCCGCCCCGAGGTGAATATGGTGTGATAAAGCCTTGTCAGTATAACCCTATAACCACAGAATAAAGCCACCAAGTGAGTGCAGTAAATTCAATGTAATAGATACAAAACATGTATCCAGTCATTTTTACTGTGATTTGCTGCTCCAGCTGAGCGGAATGTGCGGAAACTACAACGGCCGACCGAACGACGACAACCTCATGCCGACAGGACAGGTCGCCTCCACTTCCCTTCTGTTCGGCAACAGCTGGATCGCTCCGGATGACAGAACGTATGGCTCGAAGTTATCTAATTCTTCAGTCAGATGATTTCAAACGGTATATAGATTTGAAATTCATAAGTTAAACCCTACACAAATAAGTTGCAAAGAACATGTATCAAACGTTTGTTCGAATTAAGTCTTCGTGCAGGATTGGATCCTAGTTCACACGACTCAAGTAACTCCTTCAAATTTACATGGAAGCCTGTACCTTCCCCCGTCTCGATTGACTGCAGGGCCTGTCGAATTTGCACCTTCCCCCCCCCCACACCACACACACTAAGAGTGTCTTCGCCCATACTTTAAAAAACGTTGCAATGATGAATCATAGCATCCAAATATCTATGGTGCTGGCCTTTAGGGACGTTTTTCAAACATTTTTATAGGTAGAAATGTACGAAATTAACCTTTCGCAAAATCTTCCCAATCCAGCTGCCCTGACACGCGGCCGCAGGACAATTTTGGACCCGGTGACATCAGTTCGGGTGACCGGGGAACGTACCTGCATCCCACCAAGTGTGGACTCCTCAAAGCCTCGAACGGACCGTTCCGCGTATGTTACATTGTACTTTTTATCTAATCTAGTAGCTATAGACCAATTCACTTCATATGTATCAGTCACTTAATAAATCCCCTTGTTATTGCCCGATGCTATTTGGGACAAAGACGACATAGCCACATAACGAATATGTCTTTCTTTTCCTAAATGAGGATCTCCATGTATTAATTAGTAATATGGTTCTATCTTACATATTATCTCCTCATGGTTCTTTCAAGTTTGTTCAAAACTTGAAGGCACCATGGCTAAAATCTCATTTTCGGCATCAGCCTTTTCCCGTTGATTTCCTGACAAACCTATCGGTCTCTCAATCCTTCAGAGCTGCAATGCCCTCCTGCCTCCTACTGAGTACGTGGAGACTTGCGTGTTTGACCTGGCGGCGTTCCGGGGAGACCAGGCACAACACCAACCCCTTAGTACAAGCCCTTTCTCATTGATTTACTGACAAACCTTCTCTCGATCCTCCAGAGCTGCAATGCCCTCCTGCCTCCTACTGAGTACGTGGATACGTGTGTGTTTGATCTGGCTGCGTTCCGGGGAGAACAGGTGGTCCTGTGTCAGAACCTGCAGGCGTACGCAGACGCGTGCGTGTCGGCAGGGGGGAAACCGCAACCGTGGAGAAGGCCTGGCTTCTGTGGTACGTACCCTGTGACGACTCACTCACTCACTCACTCACTCACTCACTCACTCACTCACTCACTCACTCACTCACTCACTCACTCACTCACTCACTCACTCAGCTCCGCATGCCCCGCAGAACTGGGGGCGTAGCGCCTCTGCATAGGGCTCTCCAGGACTGCCTGTCTCTTGCTGCTTCCCAGGCGGTGGTGATGTCTAGTCCTGCAGTCTGGAGGTCGGTGGACAGTTGGTCGGTCCTGGTGCGCCTCGGCCTCCCTCTAGGGCGGGACCAAGTTGAGGGAGGCGGTTACCTGTGACGATGCTACAAAAACACAACATGATTAGAATTTATAGCATTACTTAACGACATGTATACCTCACCGAATACACACTTAACCAATATTGGAGGAGGCCTGGCTTCTGTGGTACGTTTAGTTTAGTTCATCCACGGCCACTAAGGTGTCTCCACATGCTCCTGTCTTGCATGACCGAGCACAGTTGCGTACATATCCCTATGACAATGCTACAAAAACAAAACATTATTAGAACTTATAGTATTACTTGGCGATACCCCACCGACTAAAAACTTAATAACGTATAGTAATATATATTTCAAATTTAATACTTATAGTATTATATATTTAGCTAAATCATTTATATCAAATACAGCTAGGTAATTGCAAAAAGCATTATCCAATCGAAAACATTGGAAGAGTTACCTCGTTGGGCCCACCACTGTGTCGTTGCCAAAAAGCGTAATAATGGGCTCTATATGATCTAGGACGAATTAAAACTGAATTGCATATCATGTAATTAATAAGGTTGCTTAATGTTTTGCCTTCACAGCTACTAATTAACCAAATCCACTTCTTCCCCCCAGCGGTCCCGTGCCCTGCTAACAGCCGCTACTCGGCCTGCGCCTCTCCCTGTCCCCGCACGTGCGCGGATCCCGGCCCGAGGCCCTGCACCAAGAACTGCGTGGAGTCCTGCGTCTGTGATACCGGCTACGTCCTCAGTGGCGCAAGATGCGTGCCGTTGAGCAGCTGCGGATGCGTGAAGGACGGGAACCTGTATGAGGTTTGGCACATGTTCATGTTGTAACCTCCAGGAAAAATGGAGGTATTGTTTTTGGCGCGTCTGTGTGTGTGTGTATGTGTGTGTATGTGTGTGTGTGTGTGTGTGTGTGTGTGTGTGTGTGTGTGACCTTGGTACTGCAGCAGAACTTCCGGGAAAACAGATGTGCGGGGTGGCAGGGAAAACAGATGTGCGGGGTGGAGGCAGCGCCTACCCGGTTTTGATTAATGAGGTTCTTCCACGGGAAAAGCCTACATGACCATATCCAGGCCAAAGGTGCTACTGTGTGTTTGAAACAAAAAACCTGTGTTATTTCGTTCTGTACTGTAGTGTACTGTGTAAAAAAAACCTTTAGAAAAACTCATATATTTCATGGAGGTATGAGATCTCCGAATTCTTGTTGTTGCTGTTGTTGTCCTTGTTTAACCATGCCCGTAGCCAGGAGTTTGCGTTGTGGGATGGGTTCTTCCCACTGTCTGAGGGACCAGCGAGCTCCGAAAGGCGCGAGCCGTTTCCTAATGTGTGAGCGGGGGCATGCTCTTGGTGCCTTATCTTGATGTTTTGCGTTTAAACCAGCTGTGTTGTGGTTTTGATGCTAGCCTTCTTAGCTTCGGTACGCTTTTTTCGTCGCTTTCCTGCAAGCACTCTTTCCAAAAATGTTGTCCTTTTACTTTACCAGAAAAATGAAGTCTGGACATCAGGAAACGAGAGATGTACTTGTCTGCCGAACAAAAATATCAAGTGTGAGAGGGTGACAGGTGAGTGTAGCACGAAAACTGTTGAAGTGTGCTAAAACTTAGCTTTAAGGTGGTTTATTCCCAACATAGCGTTTAAGTCCCTCTGGAAAATATGGATTCGACGATCAAAAATTCCATTAAAAAAGAAGCTGCAACTGTACAATGCCACCTGCGTGTCAATCATGCTCTACAACTGCAACAGTTGGGCAGCACCACAGACAGCAATAGACAAGCTAGATGCCTGCCACCGGAAACATCTAAGAACAATCACAGGACATCGATGGCCAAACAGTCTAATCTCAAACAAAGCACTGTACAAACTGTGCAATACAGGCCCGTTGTCAACTAAAGTGAAATGTGCCAGATGGACCATGTTCGGACACATTCTAAGAATGCCGACAGATACACCTGCACAGCAAGCCTTGACCTTCGCCCTGGTAGGATCTAATACTTACAGACCCAGAAAGGGAAGGCACTGCAGTAACCTACTAAGTCTGCTGAGGGCAGACCTCAAGGAAAGAGGACTAGGACCATTGCGGTCAGAAAGAAAACTCCAGGAGCTCAGGAGGCTCGCGATGAACAGGACAAAGTGGAGAGAACTGAAGAAAGACTGATTGATGCTGCAGGATGCAGAGCTACTGCAGCAGCAGAATACAGTGAACTACTAATTCCCCTTTCCCGCAAACCCTATACGTGTACGAAGCACCTTAACATTCAAGGCCAGCAAACTGATAACAACAAAAGCAATATACAAATAAAATATTTTTTCAAACAGTGTGCATATGATCATTAGATTGGCAGATGTTTAAAGTTATAATGATATATTTTTCAGAACCGCCTCCTGTCAACCCCGTGTGTCTGGGTAACCTCAGATGTCCTGGCAGACGTAAGTTGCTTTCGTGTCCATGATAGTTTACGTCTTATTAAAATTCATAAACAAAAGGCGAGTTTTCATCATTTTGTATCATGGAGGGACCACATTCAGATATAGTTGTAAGCCATCGTACGATTTTGAAGCCGTACATGTACTAAGATAAGATATGATTGCAATATCTATTGCGCTCGTATTTCCCCAGAACTATCGTAGACTGGAACTCGTTGCCACCAAGCCCAGTTGGGGCATCATCACTAGAAGCTTTAAACAACTCCTGCCATCAAATGTGCAAAGATTGAGTGTAACAAGTCGTTCGGTGATATATAGCTACATGTAGCTGCCGCCGCGCCGCGTGCCTGCGAAGCTGGTGTGTTACGCCGAAGGGCGGTTATACCGGGTATACCGATACAGATACATATTGTGTTGTGTTTTCACACAGCGGGTCAGTGCAAGGCGTGGGGCGATCCTCACTACATCACGTTCGACAACCGCCGCCACGACTTCCAGGGAACGTGTAAGTACGTCCTTGTGCGTCACGCCGACTTCACGGTGGCAGTCCGTAACGTCCACCGTCCCGGCAAGAGCCAGCGGGTGTCCTTCTGCGACCACGTGGAGGTGAACGTCCACAACTACGAGATACAGATCCGCAGCGGCACGGGCAAGGAAGTACTGGTGAGTTGAAAACTACGTTGTTCTATATACGTCGATGAAGGTTAGACATCCAGGTAATACGATACGCCAAAAAGCAGTTACTCAAGCAACTGGATATGATTTTGAAAACGTCAGAAGTTTCAGCTAGCATCCACTAGCTTTCGTCAGTGACTGAGTATCCACTAGCTTTCCTCAGTCACTGACGAAAGCTAGTGGATACTAGCTGAAACGTCTGACGTTTTCAAAATCATATCCAGTTGCTTGAGTAACTGCTTTTTGGCGGACGTTGTTCAATGTATCTGTTCGGCCACACTGTCGTAGGTAGGTCGACATGCGACATTGGTGCAGGAGAATTTTTTCAAGCAGGCTGTGACAGAACCAACCACAAACAAGGATTGTAGACAGCATTTTCTGTAGCAAGACAGATACATTTTGCAGTACATATGCATGCCTACCTCAAGATTGCACTCGGTTTGAGATTTCTTTTTCTTAGGCAATATGATGATGAAATATGATTGTTAGACAACCATACATGTTTTGATTATCCTAAGATTGCCCTCGGTTTGAGACCCCTTGTTCTGATGATGATGCAGGCCTTTATTCGTTAGACAATTGTTACAATGTATGGCAGTAAAACTACAATGCATAAACTGTCCTACAATTTCTAACTAGGTGAACGGGTACCGCCGCAGCCTGCCGGCGTGCCTGGGCCGGAAGGTCGCCATCTCCGTGAGCGGGAAACACGTGCTGATCCAGACGGACCAGTGTCTGTCCGTCCTGTACGACGGGAGGCACAGCGTCATCGTCAGGCTTCCTACGGCGTACAAGAGCAAGGTACGGCTATATCATAGCAAGTACATGAATGTGCTCGATCATATAGACGAGATTATGTAAGATGGGAGGCACAGCGTCATTGTCAGGCTTCCTACGGCGTACAAGGGCAAGGTAAACACAGAACACATCACATCAAGGACATTTAATATCATTAAAAGCTTGTACAATGTCCTTGTAAGCCAAAATATGAACTAACATCTTCATTATCTAAAAGTCAAAAACTTGGATGAGTCCAATTTATTGTGTTGGATATTACAGTTTAAAACTTGCTTCATAAAGATCTAACACATTGATGATTGGCTGAGAATTAGATTTAGAATATGATAACTTGCACGATGTAATTTAGTAAGAGGTATTGCTGTTGAACTGCTGTATCTTTTAGCCTCTCTACCAGGCTTCGGGAAGCAGCTGGAAAGAGTAGAAATTGGCCAAAGAGACAGATGATATGCCAGGAGGGTTGGTCCGGGCTTAGAGGACAGATCGGGGGCGGCAAACTGTTCTCTTAGCGCGGACCAACTCTCCTGGCATATCATCCGTCTATTTGGTGAATTTCTACTCTTTCCAGCTGCTTCCCGAAGCCTGGTAGAGGCTAGTATGTTTGGCTACCCTTAGTTGTAATACATTCTAGCTCTTTCTCTTCCTCCCTACAGGTTAGCGGAATGTGCGGAAACTATAACGGCCGACCGAACGACGACAACCTCATGCCGACAGGACAGGTCGCCTCCACTTCCCTTCTGTTCGGCAACAGCTGGATCGCCCCTGATGATGAGACGTAAGTGATCGACATCATGTTTGAAACTTCATTAAACCGTCTCCTGCCGCTACTGTGGCATCGAGTGGCGTAATGGTCGGAGCTTTCAACTCGGAGCCAAGAGATTCCGGATTTGACCCCCTAACATAACCGATGCTGTGCCCTTTGGAAATGCACTATACACGACAGTGACGCCCACCGGGCCTTTCGGATAATCGTTAATAGTTGTGTCCAAATACTGATGAGGACACAGACAGATTTGGTGCCGATGTGCCAAGATCTGCACATTTGCCACTAAGAACCGACTCTGTCTTCTTTATAATGATTTGGTGCTAACAGATACTTTAGCAAACTGAAGGTTAAAACACAGAGTTCGACCTATCATTGACCATCTTCAGGGAACCTGACCCACAATTCTGTCTTTCACGTGACTTTATGCGGAAGTGACGTCAGTAATGGGTCGGAGGTGACCAGAAGTCTATATCTACCCCCGTCGGTTAATGATCCTGACTTACATGTTTTAAAGCCTAAGAATTGTCTTCATTGGCTGCCAAGTGCTGCTGATATTGTCAAGAGAGGCATGACGTATAATCCTGAATGTTTTATCTGTTTATTTATCTATTGGCTTGGCTGTTCAACCCTCACAGCCAGGGTAACCCAACTAGCAAGTGGCTATTACAAAGAGCTTGTCTTACTGACAAGACACGACAAAACATTTGGTTTTGCACACTGCAGTTTGACATTTTGAAAGATTTTTTTTCTGACAGGTGCCCCGATACAAGACCTCAAGACAACTTTGACTCCAACGACATCACCGCGGGAGACAGAAAGCTGTACGGGCGGCCTGATAAGTGCGGCCTTCTCCAGCAACGAAATGGACCATTCGGGGTAAGTGTATGGGATCGTCTTAAGTCTTAAGGACAATTTGGCAGAAGATGTTGGAGGGTGTGCTGTATTCGGAACCGTGCTTCTTCAAGAACAATGCTCAGACACGGTCCCGAATAGTAATACAAATGCATGAGTCAAATCTACGTTCTTGGATCGGAGACTATACTATCCTCAATCGCGTTCCTGAGCCTATTTCTAACCCTTTCGGGCATAAAGTAGATAGGCACGGTTCTGGATAAGTACATGCTTAAATCATCTCTCGTAGTATTATGTCGTAGGTGTCGCCAAAAATGCATTCAGTGATTTTGAATCTAAGATACCCAATGCGGCGTCCTTTTTCAGGCCTGTTCCTCAGTGCTGAACCCGTCGACGTATTTCGAGTCCTGCGTGTTCGACATGGCGGCTTACCGCGGGGATGAGGACATGTTATGTGAGAATCTGGAGGCCTACAGCGACGACTGCACGGCGGCGGGGGGGAAGCCCGGGAGGTGGAGGACTGCAAACCGATGCCGTAAGTACATTACCGTTGAAAACTTATTCAAGAATTGAGAAACTTTAAAGACAGTAAAAATAGTAACCGGATTGTGCGATAAATGTGAATCAATTACAGCACGAAAATTGAAACCTTACTCACGTATCTATACACCCCTATACAATGTTCATGAATCACCCATCTCACTCTAGCTGGTGTCTTACGCCGTAAGTACATTTATGCTGGCAGGGAATTGAAATGAGTGAATGAATGAATGAATGAATGAATGAATGAATGAATGAACGAATGAGTGAATGAGTGAATGAATGAATGAACTTAAAAAGGGCAATGAAATCTGACAAAGGTTATTGAAGCGCTCATAATTTATGCCTGTAAGAATTCGGCGGCTTTCCTTATTTGTTATATATATTCAACAGTGACTTTGTTGTTATGTTTGAATGACAAAGGTAAGGTGTTAGTTATCATGAAACATCTGAGGCGTTTCAAATGGAGTTAAAAGAAAGAAAAACCTACTAAATGTAACGTTTATAAGATATTACAAATTACCAACGAGAACCCAAAGTCCAGCCAGTATTATCTTCACCATTGAATCACTCAGCATTCTGCATTGTGTTTCTACCGTTTTGCAGCGATGCTATGTCCTGCGCAGTCACTACAAATGGCTTATTAGAATAAGATATCACAAAATACCAAAGACAAATGTCTTGATCATCGAATCTTCATATTATGTGTTCTGTTTCTACCACTTTGCAGCGATGCCGTGCCCTGAACACAGCAGCTACAACCCGTGCGGCTCTGCCTGCCCACTGACATGTGCCGAGCCCAACCCGCGGCCCTGCGTCAGGATATGTGTTGAGTCGTGCGTGTGTGACCAGGGCTACGTCCTCAGCGGGTCCGTCTGTGTACCGAGGAGCAGCTGTGGGTGCTCCAGCAACGGGAACTATTACCAGGTTTGCTGGTCATCAACGTTTGTTTGTTTGTTTGTTTGTTTGTTTGTTTTGTTTTGTTTGTTTGTTTGTTTGTTTGTTTGTTTGTTTGTTTGTTGGTTGGTTGGTTGTTTTGTTTGTTTGTTTGTTTGTTTGTTTGTTTGTTTGTTTGTTGGTTGGTTGGTTGGTTGGTTGGTTGGTTGGTTGGTTGGTTGGTTGGTTGGTTGGTTGGAGTCTTTGCACATTCATGGAATTCTCAAATCCACATACTGAATGCTTGACATTGAGGTGACAAAAGGAAGAAGCCAAGTATTTTTTATACAACTTATCTCCTTACGATTATTTTTTGTGCATTTGCTATCAGAAAAATGAAGTGTGGAGAACTGGGAACAAAATCTGTAAGTGTACCAACAGCAGGATTACCTGTGAGGCCGAACCAAGTGAGTTGTTTATTGTCACTTTAACTTTAACACTTGGAAGTTTTTTTTTATAATTAGGTAAAGATGGTGCTTAGATGCATAGGTGCTTCTACCATTACATGACATCAATATCTTCTTTCCTTTTTCTAAAGGTGGAACCATATCTACTGAAATAGTAGGTAAGTTCTAGTCTATTTTACATGCTGCATATTACTTTTGCACATAATTAAAGACTAAAAGTCATTTCTTATAACCATCGAATATATCATCGAGTGAAACGGCAAACACAAAGATGGCGGACAGGGCCTTAATATCTCGTACCCAGGGTCATGTGAATTGGTCGACCCTATTGGTCGGGGTGTTTATGGGTTTAACCCCACCATCATTTTGTGAGTCTCAGATCATTATTCACCAGTATCACCACTGGTGAGGTTTTGGCGCCATAACGAATATGAAACGAGGACTGACTTCTGATTGGTCGACAACTTCTGACTATATGATAATGCCTGTTTTTTGTCCTCTCTCATTATCATATATTTTCCGGAAATACTTATACATTGATACACTTTCTGTTGTGAATATGGTCTTTTGATATATTTTATCTAGGTTCGAGTTGGGACACGTGTCCAGGGTCCCTTTCTTTCGTCACCATCGGCTGGAGCGGCGTGTGGGGCGTGAACTCCCGCGGCGTTGTGTTCTACCGGGTCGGCACGGCGGGGAAGGAGGGCCACTTCGGGAGGGAGTGGAAGCAGATAGACGGGAACCTCGCCCAGATCAGTTCCGGCAAGGGCATCGTCTGGGGGGTCAACTCAAGAGGCAAAATCTATGTGCGAATCGGTATGTTATCAAATCAAATCAAATTGTATTCGGTAAGGCTCTCGCGGGCAAATACCCGAATTTCGCCCTTATTACATAGTACATAGAGCATGCAGCAATTATTTGTGCACATGAAACAACATAGGCAAACACACTACTAGTATTAACACTGCTCAAAAATCGGAATATCCGGACGTTTCCGGACCTGTACATGTCCCGTGAAACTTGGCGTGTCCGGGTGTGTCCGGGTGTGTGCAGGAAATGTCGGCCACGGCGTGTGCGGGTCTGTGATACCTCCGGACATGCCCGGACACTTGGTAATTAGTCGTGTGTACGGGAATATACGGGCCTGCACACGTCACACGTCGCAAGTACTGCCAAACAATAAGGGGTCACCATACATGTAGATCGTTTCGCAAATGCGTAAATTGAGAGGTGCACATGTGTTTTCAAAGCCGGTAAGAAGAACGGGCAAAATGCTGGTTAGAAAACAATATTATTTTCACTCCCGAAATCTACCTAAACATGAGTTCGTTCCATGAACCGAATTACTATCTAAAAGCGTTGTAGGTAACAGGCAACGCAACACAAAGACAAGACATCTAGATTGGATGGTAGAGGAAATCAGCGTTACATTAAAAGTTGGTGAATAGAATAATTGTTGTTTGGGAGCCGATGTCTGCTATAAACTCGCCCTCGCCAGAGTCTGGTTGACTTTTGGGCCACGCCAGGCTTATATAAACTCTGCTAAAGAATCTAGAAGGATATATAAAGCTTGGTATGAACAAGGATTTTATATGAACATGCAGCTTCAACTAGGTTATGATATAACGTCCTTGGTATGAATGGGGTCTAAGTGTATCCCTGTATATATTTGTAACTATAACCCTTGCTATGAACAATGAGTAGATTTCTTTGTGTGGTCCATCGTCTCCCCGCATATATTAACGCCTCATTATACCGGCACCATATTGAATCTACAGTGGGCAAAAACAACAACACAATTACTGATCAGAATTTTACCAAACTAGTCTATTGGGAACCTTCGACCTTGACATATTTCACCTTTGGAAACATGGTCGTTTTCTTTGGTAATGAGAGGGACCGCTCTGGTGTTTTTTTCAAATATCAGCCCACTTTAGTAGTAAAAATAATTTTTTTGGAAGAGGCAAAAGATGCACGGTTTACTTGTACATTGTTGTCAGATGTGTATTGTGGTGTCATGGTCAGAGACGAGACGGCGCCCATGTCTTATTTACCTTGTTTGTTTGTTTTTATATAAGAGAGGTTTAACTTCCTTTGTTATATTTAATTTTTATACTTTAAGAACACGAAGTTGAAAACATTACACGGGTAAACTGCAAATTATGTGTTGATGATAACATTCCAGACTATTTTATAGCCTATGTTTTTTATTAGTGTGCGTGCAACTTTTACATAATAGACAAGCGGGACATTTCACAACTCTTTGTACTAGTATATCATTATTCCTGCGGTGACCTGTAAACCAGACCAGCCAATTGCATGCATGTCTCTTTGTTGGGGTTTGAAAAGAGGGCCAATCAACGCTCGGGTCATTATTTTTGAAATCTTTCCGTTACATGCCTGGTTGTGGAGCGTGCATTGTACAACTATCCTGGACACAAGCAAGTTACGCAAGGAACTTAGTGAGAGCATGGAGGTAGAAAAGGGTCCATGGTGAGAGATTGTGTCATATCTCATCATCAACACAGGAATATCGGTATTGCGCCTTTCTACGTAAATTGGAGCAGTTTTCAAGACAAGAACGCCGTGGGACACTGGCAAGACGAACTGGGACAAGACTACTCTCCAAGCTGAGGTTGATTGGGAAGATTGTGAACGTCAGAGTATACCTCGTTCTTTGGAAAGCCGGTAGCCAGGATCCTGGGAACCAGGCTGCGGGCATAGGCGAGTGATAGTCCGCGTGCAAGAGAGTATTAGACCGGACCAGAGGACCGATGTACACCCCTCTGGACTATACACTGTGTCCCGACTCAAGGCCGTGCTGTGGCACAAGATGTTCGGCCCGTGGGTCACCGCCTCAGCGAGGCTTGTTGCACAGCGCGGAATAAAGAGCTTGGGACGGCTTCTAACGACTGGTGCCCAGACGAGACTAATATCTGCTCCCGTGACTAGCTCAGTAGCTGCGTCAAGGCAAGACACAGAAGAACGAGACGTACAGTTTGTTTCAGCTGAGCTGAAAGACCGGCCGAAGTACACTGGAAATATTGGAGGCACACAAAACACAAACAAAAAGTCACAAAGCCCAAGCACCATGTACAATTAATAAAGAAAACAAAATTATGCAAACAAGAAGGGGGGATAAACGGCTATTATGCTACTTTACATTACAAAAGGCATATTGGAGGGGGGGGGCGTGTGCGGGTGTGTACGACCCGTACACGAGCTGATAATGAGGAAGATAATTAGGTGAAAATTACCGCTAATTTATGCATATTTCATACACACACTCAGAGGTACGTGTCACGTATCCGGGCATGTGCAGAGATTTACGGGTGGCGTGTGCAGAGGTGTGCAGGCCTGTACACGGCCCGGACACCTGAGTGGTTCATATCCGGGCCGTGTGCAGGCCTGCACACGCCAAGTGTACGGGTCGCGCACACCTGGAAATGTCCGTATATTTGGAATTTCCGGGCGTGTGTACGGGAGTATACGACCCGGATACGTCGGTTTTCGTCTAGTGTAAGACATATTCGAAGACGATTACACAATTAACAGTTATGTCCCCAATACTACTCTCCAAGCAGAGGTTGATGGAGGAAGATCGTTTGCTTTTTATATTTGGCCCGTTTTTTTTTTGTCGCTACCACCACCAACTTGCGAAACTGAAGGGCTATATATAAAAAGCAAACGATCTTCCACCATCAACCTCTGCTTGGAGAGTAGCCAATACTGTCCTATTCTGTCAGTCTTCTTGTTCTTCTTCTGTCGGTTCCTAGTTGGAGGCGACTGTGAGTTTTTTTCAGTCCAGTCAGACTTATTAGTATATAAGTATAATACTTCTCATAAATCAAGCGAAAACATAAGCATTTTAATCGATGTGTTATGTTGTCAATACTGTTTCATTCTCCGTAAATAATTTCACCAGGTTGGTAAACGAATGAATAGCAAAGCTCTTTGATCACAACCATTTATTTGTCACGAGCCGACGTTTCATTGTTTTATTTTGCTTAATAGTTTAATATCAGTATCTAAAAGCCCATGAACCAAGCATAAACGTACCTTTTTTATCTTATTTTCCATCTTGACCGCACAGAAATCCAGCCAATGTAATACATTTTGATGTAATCGCATCCTTAACCGAGCTGAAAGCAGATGTCACACATTCACGACTTTGGCCTCTCAGAACTTAACTCTATATCTATATTAAACTATGAGTGTCTTTAACTCGGGATGCGAGCATTCCGTACAACCGAGATGAAAATGCAGTTCTTCATATTAGATATATAAAGGAATGCTTTGTTATTAGAAAAAATTCCGAAACTTAATTCTGATTAGCCCACTCGATTGTAACACTTTATCAAAGACTTGTGCTATCCCTTTTATTTGAATAATTATGATATCGATTTGTTAGGTTTTTATTCGACATTAGGTCTTGTTCAACACATTTTATTGTTTGTTACTCTCTTTATGTAGTTTGCCATACATTGCACCATGTGCAATTGTCGTGCAACAAAGTCCTTATTATCTTATTGTTGTTTCCAGGCATCACGGAAAAGGTATCGCACGGAAAGGACTGGAGGCTGGTGACAGGGCAGCCGCTGAGGTCGGTGTGCGTCAGTTCCTCCAGTAACTTCGTCTGGGGCGTCAGCACGACGGGCACCGTCTGGAGGAGGACGGGGATAACAACCGGCAACCTCATTGGTAGGGAGGGTATCATTTGTCTTCACTTTATTTGCATATCAATCAATAGTTTGTGCTTATAAACCTGCTTTCCCCTCTGGTCTCTCAGTCACTGACGAAAGCTAGTGGATACTAGCTGAAACGTCTGACCGTTTCCAAAATCATATCCAGTTGCTTCAGTAACTGCTTTTTGGCATATCGTATTACCTGGATGTCTAACCTTCATCGGCGTAGGGTGTCACGTGATTGTGACGTAACTTAGTGTCCGCCATGTTGGTGGGTTAACCGTTTGGCTACCAATTCTCTATTGGTTACGTTGTTAAGTACTAAATAGAATGTTAAAGACTTCTGTCTAGGGTGTCAGCACGACGGGCACCGTCTGGAGAAGGACGGGCATAACAACCGGAAACCTCATTGGTAGGGAGGGTGTCACGTGATTATGACGTTACACAGTGTCCGCCATAATGTTGGTGGGTCAACCTTTGTAACGCTGAAGTATCTATTACGCTACCAATTCTCTCTTGGATCCGGGGCTATGTAGTATGGAGAACGTCAAAGACTCCTGCCAATTCATTATAAAAGTGCATTCCGAATGATCGGTCGCCATCTTGGATCTATCCACCCTACCAAGATGGCGGCCAATGATGTCGGTATACTGATGAGGTTGTTGACCCCTTTAATATGAATCAGCAATTGCATGATAGAATGTAGTCTAACGCTGGTGTCACATTTTCAATACCGGGGCCCCGCCGGGCTGTTTCGATTAACGAAAGTTCAACAATTGATATACCAATATACCAAATAGTTCCCATTATCAATCTAACAAGTTGAAAACTTTTTTGTACTTTGTTGTCTTTTATATCATACTTTTCGCTCCATAATGCCCGGCCGGGCCCCGGTTTGGAAATGTGCCCTTAACATAATGAACTGCACGTACAGGGACGGGTTGGCAGCAAGTACCCGGCGGTTCGGCCATACGAGGCGGCCTGTCGTACGTGTCGATCGGGTACTGTGGCGTGTGGGGAGTGACCTCTAGCGGCTTGATCTGGTACCGCAGCGGGACGTACGGCGGTAAGGGTTCGGCGGGAACAGGCTGGGTCCAAGTCACGGGGTACCAGCTGGTCAGCATCAGCGTGGGGTACAACGTGGTGTGGGGAGTGAGCGCGATTGGACAGGTCTTCATCAGGATCGGTAAGAACTTTACCATATCTTCAATGGTATAAATGAGGTATTCCTAGTACCTTGACTATAATGCCTAACCGTAAATTCACATAATAGACAAACATATAGAAATCCCTGACATTTTAAAGCACTTTAGATGTCTGAATCATTGTTGATTTCCTGTAATATAAATGTTGCGGCATGTGATAGATACACTGCACAATTTTACATAATGATAACATGCGAAGGAACCCCTGACAACGTTTAATGGTAGCATGAAAAGTGCAGTTTTGAGAACTGCATCAATGCTGTTTTTTGCGTAGCACACATATTGCAACAGCAGTGTAACACACGTGTTGCAATTCGCAACAGTAGAATATAAGATTCACCATACACCATACAAAATGTTTAACGTGTTTTTGTTATTTCTGTCCACTCAGGAATAACGGCCCAGAGGCCGCAGGGAACAGCCTGGCGATTGGTCGGAGGAAGCCTCACCCAGATCTACGTCAGTTCGTCGTCCAATCGCGTGTGGGGATGCGGACTGAGTCATCACATCTACCTCCGTGTGGGAATCACGTGGAGCTCCGGTCCCGTGGACGTCCCCGGTACGAATTGTTCTTTAAACTTTATTCATCAAAACAACATTGCAGGCTGAAACAGCCTGAATTGTGTTGTAAATTACATGTACATTCACATTAAACAATTGTAACATTTTAGCGTTAAAAGATTACGTGTTAAAAGAAGTATATCCGATAATGACGTAAATATGAAATAACACATTAAAATATAGACAATAATTGAGTGAAACAACTTTAAGATACAAGTACAAGGAGGCAATAAGATTTTTTTAATAAAAGTTCAGATATTATAGATTGAAAAGCTGTGTGACGTTAATCTCCAGGCAGATCATACGGTGGCAAGGCATGTATCTACTGGCCAGAGCAGTGTCCGTTAGCCAGCTTCGGTGGCCGTGCAAACTCCTCTGGTTAATAGATACTGCCTTGCCACCGACAGGGATCTGCTTGGAGATTATGTGACGTCAACATTGGTAGATGGTAGATGATATCGTCCCCCGTCGCGGTTGGGTGGTTGTAATTTATCATCATCATCCATTTCAGAGCCCACCTGTCACTCCAAGGCGGACATCCATGTGCTAGTGGACGGGTCCAAGAGCGTGCAGCAGCGCAACTTCCCGTCAGTACGGCAGTTCATCCTGAAGCTGGCGGCAGGGTTCGAGATCGGACCCGGCAAGGCCAGGATCGGCGTCTACCAGTTCGCTAAGGACATGCAGACCGAGTTTAAGATGAACCAATACAACAACAGAGCGGTGCGTATGTTTTTTGACGTCATTAAGTAGACTCACTCACTCACTCAGGACCGCATGCTCCAGGGAGCGTCGCGCCTTTCAAAGTTGTCTTCCAGATGGTCCTGTCCTGCGCCCTCTGCCAGGCTGTGGCTGCACCAAGACCCACTGCGCTGAAGTCTGCATTCAGCTGGTCTCCCCATCTGCGTCTGGGTCTGCCTCTGGGTCTGGACCAGCCTGCAGGCGTGGCTGCCTTCAGTAGACTGGCAGCTTCCAGGGGTGGATCGGCTCTGGCTAAGTGGCCAAAGAGTCGCAGGCGGGCCTGTCTGATCTTATGGGAGACAGTCGTAGAAAATAAGCAGATTTGAGTAAAAGAGCGAAACTGTTCATTGCAACAGATACTGGTTGATTTGTTGTCACCTAGAGCTTTTGACCAGTCACTCTGGTCTTCCTCAGTAGACTGACCCAGTGAGACTTGTCACGTGACTTCTCTGGCCCAGTGTTGACGTCACACTTCAGAGAAGCCACGCGAGAGGTCTCATTGGGTCAGTCTATTGAAGAGGATCTAAGAGTAACTGGTCGGAAGCTCTAGATGAGAACAATTAATCAATTCTTGTGTTGGAACAAAAGTTTCAACTTTAAACTGTTGTGATATGGCTATATGATGACACAGTGGTATTTTTTGTATCTCCACACAGGCTTTGTTGGGAGCTATCAGGAAGATTGAGTACATGAATAAACTGTGGACCAGGACTGGACAGTCTCTGAAGGCGGTCTACAATGAGTTCACCAAGGCAAATGGTGCTCGAGATGATGCTGAAAAGGTAAATAAGGCTTTTATCTATTTTCGGCGACGCCTCGGGGGCGGAAGTTTTGTTTTGCAGTACTCACAATATATTGTCTGCCTAGTTACACAGATTACAAGTTTCTGAATAAGAAACTAAACACACAGATGTCAAACAAACCACAACAAGCATCAAACAATGATAAAAGAAGAATGAATATGATATGAGGATAATTTCCTTTCATTTACCAATGATTGTTCTGTACTAACATGGCACAAATATTATTTTGAAGATCATCATCTTAGTGACAGACGGGAAGGCCACCGATCAAGTGAGAGAGCCTGCGCAATACGTCAAGAACAAGGGTGCTCACGTGTTCACTGTGGGCGTGGCCAAGTACAAACTGAGCGAACTTCAGGTGAGGAAAGGTTTTTAACTTTTTATTTATCTATACATGTACCTATATTTGTTCCAGGCCATGTATTCTATTGTGACATGTTATGGTGTTGAATGGGTCAGTGGGTAGCGGGCACGTGGTCGAGAATTCACGGGTTCCATTCCTTGCATTCGTGGCAAGACGTTGTGCCCTTGGGAAAGGCACTTTACACTTTCCTCACTCCACCCAGCTGTAACTGACTTCGGTTGGGGAGGTAAAATTTGGTTTGGAAGGAGAGGGACGGGTCTCGTCTTCTAATACTGTGCCCTAAACACGATGGACTAACAACACACTGCCCCTATACGGCCCGAAAAGGGCTATTTGACCTATCTGTACTTTAAAAACATAATAAGTTACATTACAGCTACCTCACCATTTTCTTCTATGTCGATGCCTTTTTTAAACTAAGACAACATAAGTCAGAGTTTCATATCTTATAGCTCATCGCGTCTAATAACGACTACGTGGCGACTGCTGATGATTTTGAGGACTTGGACCGGATCAGAGACAAAGTGCTAGAAGTCGTCTGTAACGGTAGTACTAAAGACCAATCTAAACAATCAGGGGTGTTTCCCAATGTTCTGTGCGAGGCATAGGGGTGTTTGTGGTTGGCTAACATGGAGGTGGTAAGGTAGAGATGGCATGATATATATATATATATATATACAGCCTGTGTGAAGCTGTCAAATTCTGTGGTAGTGGCAAACTTACTGTCAATCGTAAACACCATGTCATGAAGAGAGATATCCTTATTTTGCTAACCTTACCAGGAGAAGGAGGAGGCGGCGGCGGCGGCGGCGGTGGCGGTGGAGGAGGAGGAGGAGGAGGAAAAGGAGGCACAACACACTTCACAGTCTACAATGAAGCGAAGACGTACTCCGAGGCCCAGAGGAAGTGTGAACAGAACGGCGGTAGCCTGGCCGACCTGAAAACAGCTGAAATCTCCGCCGTGGTCGTCAAGACGGTGGACAGTAGCAAGAACTACTGGATCGGGCTAAACGATCTTGGGGTACGTGGTCATTATAGGACAGAGCTATGCATGTACATACACAAGTACAAACATATGTATATACTAGTGCATACGACGTGGCATCGTGTGGCGTAATCGTCGTGATCGGCTCGGAACCAACAGGTCCCGAGTTCGATCCCCAGACATGCGCGATGTTGTGCCCTTGGGAAAGACACTTTACACGACGTCCCTCCCTGTACGGTGGAGTGACGCCCACGGCCTTTCAGCTAATTGTAGATACTGTGTCTAAACACTGCAATAGGATCTGCACTAATGATCTCCATGGAGGTCATTACTAACATTAGTGCAGACCTGCAGCTGAAATTTTCTACCTCCATGGAGCTACCTTCATGGAGGTAATTAGTGCAGACCCCTCTCAAACACTGATGAGGACACAGACTGATTTTGTGTTGCAGACTTGCAGAACTGTAAGACTATAGCAATGTCTGTTGAAAGTTATGGTTAAAAGAATATTCAATTTTTTTCAGGTATTGTTGATAGTATCAAAATAAGGGCTTTCCTTTAAGATGAAGTGTTGTGATGTTCCTTTGCAGCACGAAGGACGCTGGCATTGGTCTGACGGCGTGCCGCTGGACAGCTGTAGCTTCAAGAACTGGTATCCTGGAGAACCCAACAACGTCGGGAACGAGGACTGTGCGCATCTGTGGGCCGGCAGGGGCGGCAAGTGGAACGATCTGGCCTGCAACTCAAAACAGTACTTCATCTGTCAAACAGGTACATGTAGGCTCTTTTATCTAATCTCCAGGCAACAACTGGATGTTCAGCCTTTTAACTTTTCGACTACGTCCTGTGATATATTATTTTCTAATATTATTTTTTCATGATCTTTCAGGAGACAGAGTAACTATTGGGTGCACAGGTTCTCCACGTAAGTCAATCACCTTTTAGTAAGACAAGGGGACCACGAATGTCTTGCTTTTACCAAGCTAATTATGTTTAAAAAAACCTTCTTGTTCACCGCTCTGCAACTTCAGAAGCCTATCTATATTTCTGAATTTTGATACACAAAAAATCATCTTCGAGCAGATTCTGTAGTCCAAGGGGGGTCTATTTATGAAATGAAGTGGTGATGATGTAATTGCCAATGTATTTATGTTTTGTAAATGTATCATGTGTGTCTTGAAGGGTTGAAGGACCACAGGAAGAATAGCTACATTTGTTGTAAGCTAAGTGTGGATCCCAAAGTCAAAGTCATTTTGGCCACCACTTGTGGCCATTGCCCGCCCCACTCAAGCTTGGCAATATAGACTCTCCACAGAATCTGCTTAAAGATGACATGAAACACTTTCTGTGCCACAGTTTCCCTGAAGCCTGAGTACAAGGACTGTTGACTTGACTTGACTTACTTGACTTATGTCGAGTCCTGGTGTCCCTGGCCTCGAGACAAAATGGCTGACCAACACTCCCTATCTTCCATCACTTGACCCAAGTAGTCCACCTCCAGGCCAGTGTCTCTCCTTAGGCAGTCTATGTAGGTTGCAGCCGGTCTGCCGGCCTTCCTCCTCCCATGCTTGGGAGTCCACAGTACCAGCTCGGCCACAATCTCCTCTCTGCTCCTATGACAGTGTCCTGCAAACCTAAGCCTTCTTGATCTAATGGACAAGGACTGTTACCGGGACGGGAGTATACGTAAATCAAGCTCCCAGCAGTCTACAGCAAGATGTGTGAGCCATTGTAAGAGCGGGGGGTTCAGCTATGCAGGTAACAGTAACGCATATTTTCTGTTGTACAGGTGACAAGGGCAGACGCAACATCGGGGCGGAAGTTGAGAACGGCCTGCAGTACCTGAAGCGGACGGCGGGGGAGCTGATGGACGAACTAGAAGGACGGAAGAACCTGGGCCTGGGAACCCTACAGACGGAAACTGGGGAGGACGCCGCCATGCATCTGAGACAGGTGGGATTTCTCGATTGCACCAACATAGCAATTGCCTAAAAATGATGAGCATGTCCCCTCTATCATGAAAGTCCATCTGTGTTGATAGTTACTAGTACGTGTTTAAAGTTAAAACTTTTGATCCAACACAAAAATATTCTCTCACCTAGAGCTTTTGACCAGTCGCTCTGGTCTTCCTCAGTAGACTGACCCAGTGCGGCTTGTCACGTGGCTTCTTTAAAGTGTGACATCAACACTGGGTCAAAGGTATCTGGTAGACGATGTCGGCCCCCGTCGCGGTTGAATGAAGGGTGATGGACCCTGATGTAAATGGCCTCTTTCAGTCCTCTCAGGAACTAGTCTTGTCCAGTGTCCAATATTGGACGTCCCCACTATAAGTCGAATCTATGTATGTTATGTACATACTTGTATCTGTTTACAATTCGCATTTTAAGTATAATCGTGACATTTCTATCTAAACTAGTGTAAACCATGTTCATGTACTGTAAACCATGTAAGTAACGAATCGCATGTGTTAAACTATCACTGGTAGAGTACTCATCACCATATATCAGATGGACATTACATTGTACATGAAAATGTAGTTGATATGTACTTACTTAAGTTAGTAGATGCCATACTTTGTACCCTGTACAACTGATGTTGCGCAATAAAGTTATCTGTATAAAAGCTGATGCTGAATATAACTATCTATTCCATGTTTTTATAGATGTTGGACTCCATGTCGGAGCTGACGACCGACGCTATCGACGATGGGGAGGAATCCACCCGCGAGGTGTCACTCGTCCTGGACGAGATCGACCTGCAACTGCAGCACATCCGGGACCTGTCCGACATCCTGGACACCTCCAACATCCAGGCTGAAGGGCTGGAGGAAATTCGGGATCTTCCGGAACCTGACGGGTTTGAGGAAATCCAGGAATTTCCAGAATCTGAAGGTCTGGAAGAATTCCAGGATCTTCCGGAGCCCGACGGGCTGGAAGAATTCCAGGATCTTTCAGCGCCTGACGGGCTAGAGGAAATCCGGAATCTTCCGGAGCCCGACGGGCTGGAAGATTTCCAGGATCTTCCGGAATCTGATGGTCTGGAAGAATTCCAGGATCTTCCGGAACCCGACGGGCTGGAAGAATTCCAGGATCTTCCGGAATCTGAAGGTCTGGAAGATTTCCAGGATCTTCCGGAGTCTGAAGGTCTGGAAGAATTCCAGGATCTTCCGGAATCTGACGATCTGGAAGAATTCCAGGATCTTCCGGAGCCCGACGGGCTGGAAGAATTCCAGGATCTTCCGGAATCTGACGTTTTGGAAGAATTCCAGGATATTCCGGAGTCCGAAGGGCTGGAAGAATCCCAGGATCTTCCGGAGCCCGACGGGCTGGAGGAATTCCAGGATCTTCCGGAATCTGACGATCTGGAAGAAATCCGGAACCTTCTGGAGCCTAACGTGCTGGAAGAATTCCAGGATCTTCCGGAATTTGACGGTCTGGAAGAAATCCGGAACCTTCCGGAGTCCGACAAGCTAGAAGAAGTAGCGGAAGTGCTGAAAGAGTTCGAGGACATGATTGACGGATAGTAATCACGTGACTTCCATTCCGCCAATCGTCTGTACGTAGTGTATACGTAGCTTATTTGCTTTAGCTTGGCTAGTATAGTAAGCTTTATGTAACTTGAATGTTAAAAGAAATGCTCTTATACCAGTCTTCTAGCTGAAAGTAAGTAGAAACTTATCAATGCTAATTTTATATTCAGTTCAATGCTGTTTGGCACAGAATCTTTTATACGGTGGCTACTTTTCAAATTTCATCCAACACCGATGGTAAAGAATCAGGCAAGTTACACATATTAGACAACTGATCCCCTGCAAAGAGCAGCCATTTGGTACTTGGTACCTGGCTAACTAAAATTTTACCTGCAATAAACGTAGTTCATGGTTAATGTATTAGATACTTCATGGCGTAATAAAAGTTGCATATATGTGCAATTTGCTAATATGAAATTCATGTATGTTATACATACAGTGATTGGAGATTAAGGAAATCTTCTATTAGCAACTGTATTAGCATAGCTTACTTTGTTTTGGGACTAGCTCTTTGGTGCCACTGCACATATATAGACATATGTAGTCATTATAAACTGAACGCCCATGCATAGAAATGCATCAATGCTGCCTGTAGAAGAAAGAGATTGTACTGATCGTGAGCAAAGATATCGTATTAACCTGGAAACAATAAAATCGTGATGGCAAACGTTTGGCTCCAACGAGCAAGTGGGTAGAATGACTGAACATTGTTCAAACAGGCGCGAGAAAAATGCAAATAAAAATTGTAATGGGATATTTCTTGTCATTGTATATTTTGAAGTACGCCATAGCAGTTAGCAAAACATCTTACCGACCCCACCCCCCCCCTCTCTCTTAAAAGAGTTAAGTTAGTTTAGAAGGGGCGGGAAAAAAGGCTCGTATCCCTCTGTTTACATTCCCATCATTGCGTCCCTTTTTCAGCCCCCTTTAGGACTGCTTAAGATTGTTTTAGTCCTGATTGCTTCCGGCAAACAATTGAGTTTGATGGTCCTTGATGTGAGTTGGGGTTCGGGACTTCCGTCGAAGTTGGTTGTTTTTCCTCTTTGTGGTTTTATGAGAAAACATTGCATTGCACAAAATCCTATATTTAGGTACATCTGATGAAAGCATACGTAAAGTTACACACGAGGGAAGAAACGGGACATTTATGCATGATTTAAGGTGTGGTTCTTCTATGTGGTTCTTCTATCAGGACTATTCAAAGGACGCGTACGGTAACCGTATATACACTGTAGCGTATGAAGCAGGCTTGAGTAGGCATTGAGTTGCCATTACGTTTCCTCTATATAAGTGCGACTTCAGTTTGTAACGGTAGCCTCCAGAGAGGCTGCTATAGAGGCTAACCTGCTCTACTCTTAACGACCATGGTCGCTGTTCTGTCGTCACACTCGGAAACTGTAGATAGCCTCTGTAGAATACTTCGGCAGGCATTGAGTTGCCACTACGTTTCCCTTGTGCGGCTTTAGTCTTTAGTTTGTAACGGTAGCTTCCAGAGAGGCTGTTTTTGAGGCTAACCCCGCTCGACTCTTCACACCCAGGGTCGCTGTTCTGTCGTCACACTTGATAACTGTAGATAGCCTCTGTAAAAGACTTCGGTAGGCATTGATTTGCCACTATTTCTCCTCTTTACGTGCGGCTTTAGTTTCTAACGGTGGCCTCCAGAGAGGCTGTTTTTGAGGCTAACCCTGCTCTACTCTTAACTACCAGGGTCGCTGTTCTGTCGTCACACTCGGTAACATCCCAAAAGACTGCGACCACCGTTACAAGTGTTGTTTGTCCAGCGGCTCATTAGTACCTTCTTAAGGGGGTCGAAAGGTCCTTTCTTTAAGGTGCTTAACCGGAAGGCTTTTGCGGAGACAATTGTCGGTCCGACTCGGTTTCACCGCGACACAAAAAAAAGAGGAACGTGTTTTCATCACCGAAGCATCACACACAAGAGGGTCAAGGAAACAGAAACACGAGTCTGGGTGTTGTAGATAAAGGAACAGACTATTAGCTAGAGATGGAAGGCAAACAATAAGGAGTGTGCTTCAGTCTGGGTCTACCTGTTATTTTCGCTCGATCGGATGTAAAGAGAACGCCGACCTTTAGAGAACGTTGACCTCATTTTCTTAATTGAGCCACTCAAAGTAGATGACTTGTTTGAAGGCTACACAATCAGAAACATCAGAATCAGGGACAACATTCCTTCCTACCTACATAAAATGGAGCTGTGTCAATTTATCAATCACTAGTACTTTTATTATCTCTTTCTCTCTCTGTCTCTCTCTTTCTCTCCCTCCCCCTCTCTCTGTGCACGTGTGTGAGTGTGTGTGTGTGTGTGTGTGTGTTGTGTGTGTGTGTGTGTGTGTGTGTGTGTGTGTGTGTGTGTGTGTGTGTGTGTGTATGTGTGTGTGTGTGTCTCGTAACAAAGCTCGGCCAAATGTTTTGGATTGTAATAACGAAGCCATTGACCTCTAGATCTTCATTCGCCCAGTCGTGGAGAAAGTGAAATGTCATGCCATGTTTGTTCAGTAACCGCCCCACCCATCGGCCTTTGTTCCAACTCTCAAGTTTTACAGCGGTCCTCATATTTTACTTTGTACCCGTCACAAATCTTCCCGTTCCAGCGTCAGCGATGCAGGACGTGTGACGCACATGTGGGAGTAAAGATACCAAACGTTGCTATTTTCGCGTTCCTCCTGATGTTTTCCTTTGGACGAAGCTTTCAGGGCGCAGAAATGTAGGGCGTCGTCGCCTTGTGTGTTTTGAGCGAGGACAAGTCTCTCACTTTAACAAAGCAAAATCACTCAGTCTATTTAGTTGCCAAAGAGATGATCTGTAGTTGTGTACCTTTACAAGGTAGTCTCAAAGATCCAAGTCGTTGCTATGATGTTATCTTTCTTCTTTGGAGCCTGCGTTTTGAGATTATGAAATCGTTGTGGACTTAACGTGTTGCATGTTCTTCTCTTGTGTTTCTTTAGTGCCTAACCCTTGAAATACCTGGTCAAACGGATCTTTACAACGGTTTTGCTATGTTTGACAAACTCTAACACTGGAAAAACGGGCGTGTTGAACTCACAAGTGGTAGCACAGATTCTACTCTACAATGGTATGAAGAAACATACAATTTGGAACACCTTTCTACAAAAACACCCTTGTCCATAGCTCTTTTGTACAGGTTACAGTTAGTCTGTAAGACCTAATTTGTTGTTCAACATTGACTAATCGTTGCTGTCGTCTGTATGTAAAAGGCTGAGGCGCTTTGTTGAAACAAAACCAGACAATCTTGTCAAACTGACGTCATACCCAGCAACATGTATCCTCCGTTGTCAAACTCTCGTCTCTTTCTCTTCAGGCAACATTCGATTATGAAGCATACATGTTCTTACCTTTTTACCATTTTAACCATCCAAATTAACTTAATTGTAGTTAATGGAAAATACAACGTAACGTTATCTGTATTCCACTCTTTTGTTGTGACCTGTACTTAACCCAGCGGGTATGTGTGTACAATAAAGGTCTTCATTTATTCATTAATTAGACCCCTGTCAGTTGTACCGTGTCTTGTCTATGCTCCACATTGAGACTTCTACAGCGACTCTACCAAACGGACTCTACCAAAGGGCTTCAAACTGAAAGGACTAGCTTCACACAACAAAAGGTAAACAGCAAAGAGTCAACAACAAAACGACAAATTGATGATCGCCACTTTAACAACAAGAGAATCTTAAGTTATCTCTATTCAACCTTGTCTCCCTCTTATTCTCTAACAATAGACCGATTTGACATCTTGTCCTTTTAAGGTCGCTTAGCGTCTCAAATTAGATCGCTTAGTGTTTGCTAAGACTCTGTTCGTCAAACTGAAGGCGACTGGGAAAGGAAGACTCGCAAACAGACAATTTTTGTTCACGGTTTTAATTTGTTTGACAACATCCGTCCCTTTTAGGCGAGAACAAATATTTTTCGAACCCCCCAAACCTCGCTGGGAGACTCTCAATTCATTGAGTAAGTAGGGGTTGGGCACTAAACACGTTTTGAATACTACTGATGTTTATAGGACCCGCCAAACGACTTTCACGTATCTTAACAGTTAATATTACTTCAAATACTTGTACATAACTCTTCTCATATGACAACACTTCTCTATCACGTAACTTATAACTTATAGATACCCATTGCCTATTCAACTATGCGATTTTAGACATTCAAAATGTCATTGTATATTTCAGATTGCAACAATGTCCACAGGACAATTTTCCCGAATTAATGGCGAATAATCATACATAGATTAAAACATTACAGTCCTTGTATGTCACTTTTTACAATAAGTTACTTGCACAAAACGCACTATCTGCGCATGCCGGCAGTCGTTCCATCATACATGGTTGACTTTGTCGGTGGCATCTATAATATAATACTATCAAATTTCTTTTATGAAACACTCTATCTATTAAATAAAGCCAATGACGGTTGCCAAACAATTGATATCTAGCTATCAGGAATACTTCAAAAAGTACTGTCGTTTTGCTGGTCGATACAGTAGACAAACGTACACAAGCACTGACGAGTTGTGTAGTAACGCGGCAAGGTTCTTATGCATGTCCAGAAATTTACAAATAAGACCAAGTAGAGTTTAGCCTGGGTGCCAGACTGTTGCCAAGGGACAGTGTAGAGGCTAGCTCCTTGGCTCCGTTTTTTTTTACTTTAGACACCGCCTCAGATAGACTCTGAGCTCGAGAGATAAGTTAGACCCCCAAAATCGGGGCTTGTGGATTCCTCCAGCCAAATGTGTTGAGCCGGGGTCTGGCATCCAGGCTAGTATAGAGTTCTGTCTCACCCCTTATGTAGCCTCCGTAACAGGCTTATAGAACTGGGGGTTCGGTGGTCTTCGGCTGTTTTCTGATTAGCCCAGTTAAAAAAACGGTGGTAATTCAACCAGGCCGGCTATGTTGTCTATATGCAATCAGAAAATAGCATATAAAAGCTCCCAAACACCCTGAAGACCCCCCCCCCCAAACCCCCAGTTTTTGACATGCTATGGAGGCTACCCCTTATGGCTGATTTCGATAACGGGTGCGTCAGGTGCGTAAATCTTAACCTCCATCCCCATGAACCTGACCGTCCTGGCGCACCGCTTGGTCTCGGGCCTGCCCCCGTCGCTCTCCGAAGAACTGTCGCACGACGCGTCGGTGCTGCGCGACCGTATGATGGACTTCCTCGGGGACTCTGCCCGCGGCTCCGGGGGCGCTGCCACCGAGATAACCGGCTCCGACACCCTTCTTGTACGGTTAGGGAAAGCCGGTTGCCTGTGTGTCACCCCCTGTGTGGTGCTGAGAGTGTCAGATATGAACAGGTTGTTTCTGTCCACTTCGAAATATGTCAGCGGGCTCAGTTTTAACACGGGTGGCGTCACTCGGTTTGTGCGCGCCGAGAGAGACTTGGTAGTTGTCAAAACTTCCGTCGAAGCGTCGTCTGTACATTGTGGGTCTCCTCTGGGTTTCAGAAATCCGACGCTTCTGGGTCGGGGGACGTCGGTGACTCTCTCAATTTTCTGCGGTTGGGATTCAGGTGTTGAGTTTGAGTCGAGGTCTAGATCTGAATTGGAGGACTCAGTCTCGCTACACACCGACTTTGGTCTCGGCTGCTCCCATGCCCGTGAGGAGGACGTTTTTCGCGCCTGCCTGCGCGCAAGTTTGTTGCTCAGGTGTTTTGCTGTCCTGCTAGTAGCACGTTTGACTGTAGCCTCCTCTTGTACCGCTGGCTCAATCAGAGACTTCTGCCGTTCTATAGCCGGTAACTGTACGGGGTAGACTGACGTAGTCGACACGACGTTTTGTTGTGGTTTTTCCTCGGGCTTTGCTGCGTCTCTGGGGCTCATTTTTGACGCGGTTCCGACCACCACGACCTCGTGAAGCTTCATACACGTCAACGCCAACTCGTCGTCGTCTTGGAAGAAATCCTCCCCCAGGAGAAAGTCTTGGAGTTGGTGGAATCTTTTCCCGCGCGAGGCGGCCGACATGCTGCGAGACGTGCCGAGGGGACGGGCTGCTCTCGTACCCCCGCCCAGCGGACTCGGCCGAAGGCGACCGAAGGCAGACGAGTTCAGCCGATTTATCCCCTGCTGTAGGGCGGGTTTCGTCGGCACGTTTCGCAGAATGTGTTGGTTCCAGACGGTTGTCCCTCCCCCTCCTGTTTGCACGTTAGAGTCTGAAGCCTTCTGTCTGGCTGACATGCAGAACTCCATTTTGTTCTTCTGCGCCATGTACAGGCGGTGGATGTCAAGTTCGGGCCCCGCAACTTTTCCCGCCGCCATTTTTCCAAAATTGTCCCGATCAGGTTATAAAAGAAGGTCCTCAGTATTTAAAAACACCGAGATTGTAGCTCTAACAAGAAGCGACGATCGGTCACCTTGAGTTTTGAATTTCAACAGTTCACTTACAGCAGTTCCACCGTCGCCAAGGTTCCTTTTTTCCATCTCACAAGACAAGAAACTTCCGAAGCAGTTGTATACTAGTACTTCCTTGTTGAACAAACGTAGGTTGATAGATGCTTCGTTACACCCCGGTTAGTTTTATGGGCGTACATTGACGATAGTATCCACGAAACCTCACGAACGCACTCCAAAAGATCGCCGCACACACACGCACACCGTCAGACCCCGTGAGAGACGGCTGTGGCTGTGGACACTTTCCACGTCTCTCTCCTTCCCCGCCGGTTGTTTGTGGGCGCGCACAGACACTCTCAAGTCCCCAAGAATACTTCAAGACGATGTTGCCATGCCCACGGTACTTTTCCCTGCACTGTTGTGGCCCAGATGTCCTAATGGTAATCCATATTGAAGTGCTCACGGCTCGCTACAAGTGTTCTGTTTGCTCGGTTGCTACTCTGCGACCATCTGACCACGGCTCAGTACACTCAGCTCAAGCGGATTTTCCCCCTAGCTCTGCTACGCTACCACAGAGAGACGTTCGTGTGTTAATGATTAAACACCAACTATATCGTCTATATATAGAGCCGTGAGCAATCCTGGCCGATTGTGTGGCTGTTTGAATAGAGCAGTCGTGGTCGACGGGCGCTGAATGCGGGTTGTGTGGTGTAAAAACTGTAGCGGCTTTTGTGGCGACATGTCAATGAGACAAGTCCCTTTACGGAAGGCGCGCTATTGACACTACCAATGACCGGTGACAACCTGGAGTATTGAAGCTCCGTGGTCGCCGTAACAACGCCCGTGGGATGTCAACCCCACTCCCAGACCCTCAAAACCCTCCCGCTCACAAAAGACCGCCCAGGTTTTCCAACTTTTCGAGAGAAACACTCGTATATGTAGTTGTCGCGGCGAACATAATTGTTGCCGGGCCTTTGTTTAGTCATGTTGTATGTTGAGCACCTCTCCTTTCAACAGCGGTCGTCAAAATATTGTCAGAGTATTTTTTACGCGCCGGAGACGGGTTGGGTTTCAGGCACGAGTATCGCGTCGTCCCTGAACTTCTCTATTACGACTGAAACCTCCCGTAAAAAGGTGGAAACTCGGGTAGAACGGAGTAAACTCGCGCGGCTGTATAGAAACGGGACACCCGAGTTATTTCGCCGTAACACCCGACTGCTGCTGAAAAGGCTGGCTCGCAGGCAGCCGTCGTAAGGCAAACACTCCGACGGTCTTTGTTACTTTGTGAGTCACCCCTTGCACTTGCCTTTAGAACTGGCGGTGGAACGTTGAGAGGACAGGGAACTCTGTTTTCAGACAGGCCCAATGCTCGAGTCGTCGAAAAAACGTAGCCTCTAGCAGGCTTCGGGAGGCGGCTGGAAGGACTAGACTTTCCAGCCGCCTCCCGAAGCCTGGTAGAGGCTAGCAAAAACGTAACGATCCCAAAGGCAAAGTCCATAAGGTTACAGCCATGGTGTACTCTTTTTTACTGGTTATAACATACGACCATCCCACGGGCTCGGTATTGGGGTGTTTTACCGGCCAAGTCCATAGCTATATTTTTCAGTCCCAAAACTGAGCCGATTTGTTTGAGTCTCTCTGGGTCCCGCAAAATTCACGGGCAGTTTCGTTGGTCGACGTGCGACTCTTTGTCAACCGACGCTTTCTGATTACAGATTAGCCCAGTTCTAGCCTCCGTAGCAGGCTTATAGAACTGGGGGTTTTGTGGTCTTCGGCTGTTTTCTGATTAGCCCAGTTCTAAACGGGGGTAATTCAACCAGGCCGGCTATGTTGTCTATATACAATCAGAAAATAGCACATAAAAGCTCCCAAAGATCCTGAAGACCCCCAAAACTCCCAGTTTTTGGCATGCTGTGGAGACTACAAATATGTACAGTCAAACCTGCCCAAGAACACTGCTCATAGACCGACACAGTCGTGCATGTGGACAGATCGTCACTTCAGACAGGGCTCTCAATGACTACATGTGTGCCAATGGGAATCTTATCTAAGGGACCAAAAAGTGGTCGCATTGGACAGGTGGTCCTTATGAAGAGGTGGTCACTTAGCTTGTACAGTTTTGACTGTAGCTGTAACACAACTTGAGGCTGAAAAATAGACACTACCCCCCCCCCCATTCATTCTACTAATACTATCACATACTACGGTATTTACAATGTAATTACTTATGTTGACGGATGTAATAAACTAAAAACGTTTTATTTGTGCTCCCATTGTGAGGATCAACATAAATCATGTCCATTTCGACATTAGGGACTACTTGACAGACGTGTACACAAACACGAGAAAGTCGTTCACAACAGTAAAACCTTTCAGCAGTGTAGTCTCTACCAGACTAACTACGCTGGCTATATATAGGAGAATATAATACCAGGGGACTTTGGCTGCCTTGTAGGTTTGACTGGCCGAGGGAAAAAACAACCTTCCGCGGTTGGGACTCTCTTGGCCAATTTTACTCTCCTTTTTGCTGAATTCTACGATCCGCATTCCCGTAGAAAGGCCTGGTGGAGGCTACCAGCGGTGGGTGGCATGGGAATACGTCCTTAGGATCGATATATCAATGTGTATTGTTTTGACTGTGGCTACACTTCAAGCAGCGTTGTCATAACAACGGTTGCCATAGATACATGATGTACAGCTAAAGTGCACATCTAGTAGGTGAGGGTTTCTCACAAACACTTGGGTGGGCAGTTTAACGTTAGGACAGAGTTGATCGACCCAGTACAGTAGGATAGGGGCATTATCATTAGATAGCTTTAAACAATGTTTTGATCTAGATGTTCAAAGGCTAAGTGTAACAAGTCGTTCGGTGTAATGTAGCTAGCTGCCGCCGCGCCGCGTGCCTGCGAAGCTGGTTTGTTACGCCGAAGGGCAGTTATACCGGCTATACAGATACACATACAGAAACTGGTGTGTTATGCCGAAGGGCAGTTATTCTGGCTATACAGATACAGAAGCTGGTGTGTTACACCAGATACAGACCCCGGATGGACGGATTTTTCTTAGCGACCTGAAAATATGCGAAAATATTTTTGTTTGAATAGCATGGGTACTTTTTGTATTGTCACAGCTGCTTCGGATTTTCTGTTGGAAAGATTATTGACATACAGAAATTCGCAAAAATTCAATATTTCGTGGAAAGGTGACTCACTGTGACAGAAATGCTATATATTACGAGTACGAAATAACTGCTACGCAACTTATGGTCCGGCCACTGTCACATACGCTGATTCCAGGAATTTCTGTTTAAAGATAGTTATGGCTTCCTTCCCTGTATTGAGATACAGAAATTTATTCAATACTTTCCAGGAAAAATTGACTGTTTGTGACAGAAATACTTGCATTACATTACTACTGCGTAACTTCTTGTCCGGTCACATACATTGATTCCAGGAATTTCTATTTAAAGTTGTTGTTGCTTCCGAAATTCAATCAATATTTCGGGGAAAACTGAATCATTGTGCAAGAAATACTGTCACGAAACTTACTGCTGCGCAACTTCATCTCCGGCCACATACATTGGATCCAGGAATGAATCGATACATTCGGGGAAAAAAGTGACTATTTGTGACAGAAATACTAGCATGAAATTACTACTGCGCAACTTAAGCTCCGGTCACATGCTCCCAATCCGGCCCACATGTTCAGTTTCGCATATGATCGGAAAAACATGTTTTCAAAAAGTTACCACAAAAACAAGAACTCTGAGATGCCAAACCTCCGGGAAGTATATAATGCATAATGTTCACAACGACATCTGACAATTTCAGGCAACGTATTAACAAAAATGTAATTACCAGTAAGGGTAATGCTACATAACTTCTAAGATGGGTAATATATAGCAGAGGGGATTCATTCTTCAAGCTAACCGGCATCTCGCACACGCAGTCGTCCCTCAGTAAGACATCTGGAGCCGCATAGTTCCCGTTTAGAGTTTTAAAAGCCTGTCAAATAAGATGGGTAACGTCACAATCATGATACGCAATATCGCTTGGGGCATATATGATAGAAAGGTCACAATCTTTCCCACCAACCTCTGCTTTGAGAGTACCATTGGAAACGTTATTAAAAGCGTGATCAAAAGTAAAATTTTCATTGAGTAATTATAAATCAGTTGAAATATTAGTATATAGTCTCTTCCCCACGTGCAAATTCTCCTAGAGACAGGCCTGATCCTCAGGCAGTTCAGTTTTACAATGTTGAACTGTATTTGTTGCATCACCTCAGCCTAAATCTAATAAGAAAAAAGTAAAAAAGAGGAGAATCTCTACCCGCCAGCACAATTTTTTCAAGGCTGGAACCAGAAACACATCATGTTTTTCTTATGCCTAAGCGACGTTTTTCCGGGTAATGTTACCAAAAAGTGTATGCCTTTATGTACAGTTCAGGGTGATATGTATGTTTGAGTACGTTATCAGCGGATGAACGTACGCAAACAGGTAGTCGTAACGTTTACTTTAGCTAGCTTTGACGGGATAAATAGCCCAGTAATACCGCCTGTACATCAGAAAAGAAGAAAGAGGACACCAGAAAGCCAACTTGTGGAACCGAAAGCGTCGCAGTCAGTCCAAGATGAAGTCATCCTCAGCTCGCATCTGTCTCTGCCTCCTGTACGTGATGATAGCAGCCTCTGTAGCTACTGGGGTTGTAGCAGGTAAGGGCCCGGGTACATTCATCCTGTCTTATACTATCATGAAAGCTCATCTGTGTTGATAGTTACTTAAGATCCAACACACAAAAACTCTCACGTAGAGCTTTCGAGCAGTCACTCTGGTCTTCTTCACACGTCATACTTCAAAGAAGCCACGTGACAAGTCCCACTGGGTCAGTCTACCGAGGAAGACCAGAGGGACTGGTCGAAAGCTCTAGACATTTAAACATTCATCCTGTCAAAGAAAGCGGTTTAGAAGTGCTATTGAAACAGACTGATCTTGATCATATTCTATCCCAGCTCCCAACTCCCAGGCTAAAACCTTGGAGAAACAACTGCAGGACTTGAAGCGTGAAGTTCAGGAGCTCCAGACCAGGGTACTGCAGAACCAGGAAAGAGACCCTACTGGCACGGGTTACGTGGGGCGATGTAAGTATCCATTAGAGTACTACAGAACCAGGAAAGAGACCCTACTGGCACGGGTTACGTGGGGCGATGTAAGTATCCATTAGAGTACTACAGAACCAGGAAAGAGACCCTACTGGCACGGGTTACGTGGGGCGATGTAAGTATCCATTAGAGTACTACAGAACCAGGAAAGAGACCCTACTGGCACGGGTTACGTGGGGCGATGTAAGTATCCATTAGAGTACTACAGAACCAGGAGAGAGACCCTACCGGCACGGGTTACGTGGGGCGATGTAAGTACCCATTTCTAGATCTAGACGTACTATTGTAAATTTAAATCTTGTCCTTTGCTTCGAAAATGGCTTGTTAACATATACCAATTTTAGAGATCATCTTCGCTTCCGGTCTGGATTTGGTCACGTCAAAGCCATCAATTATAAATGTAAATGCTTGAACATACTGACGGGCCCGGGCTAATCTCCAAGCAGATCTTTTAATGGCCATTCCAAGGGCATAATACACAGTATAATTACACAGTATAATGTCCTTGGCCATTCCATTCGCCACCGAAATGGTAACTGTGGCGAATGGAATGCCAACGAATACAGTCTTGCCAATTTTGATTCTGTCTTTGCGCCGCCAAAAAAGTGCTTGGACTTTGGAGATTACGACGAAACAACATGTTTCCAACATTCTATCCCCTATGCATTAGGTGAGACCGGAACAGTCCATACCACCCATTCCATGTACGGGTCCGGGGTGCGCACACAGGACCTGACGGCACTGTTCAGCCGGTCCTTCTTTACAACTCCGGTGGTGACAGTGGGGCTGGGAAACCTGGACCAAGGCCACACGGGAACCAGAGTCACCCTACATGTGCGCTCCGTGTCAACCACCGGTGTGGTTATTCGCATTGGCACATACGCGGATACGGTGCTGTACGGTGCATCCGTTCACTGGATGGCCTGTGCGTGATCATGAGAATAAAACCTGTTTGCCCAAAGATCCACGGCTCGTTGACTTTGTCTTTGTTGGGATTCACATATGTTCCTTATGTATGTATGTCTAAGTCAAATAGTGCATCTTTTGTCTCCAATTTTCTATATACGTTTGTTATGTGTCTGTTATATCTTGACCTGTACCTAGCCCGTCGTGGCATGAATCTACAATAAAGGTATTTCATCATTAAGCATACATATACATGTACAAGACAGTTAATCTCCAAGTAGATCTTTTGGTGGGGTAAGACAGTATCAAATTGGCCAGTCTGTATCCATGATATTTGTGCTGTAATACAGCGCAGTACCGGTAGGTGTCGCCACTGCAAACAGCAAACACGGCACGAAAACGAGGTTCGCTCTCTTTCCAGGCAGCCATCTTGAAAAAAAGATCAAGGTAAAATTCTCTCTCACAATCAGTCGTAATCCTTCCTGTGTGAGACATCATGGGGTAGTTTTTAGCATTAGAAACGGATATAAGGTCCTTTCGTTCCCTTTAGTACTCATATTTCGCTTCTGCCATTCCCAGAACAGTACAATTTGGCGATAGATTTCAGCATGTAGACTTGCGGTGGTTATAGTAGGCGTTTTGTACTGCGATTTGCAGATTTTCGATGCAGCTTCGAACTACCACACCACCTCGAGTGTTTGCCAACATGTTATCCAACAACAGCCATGAATAGATAGTTTTTTCCTTATATGTTTACTTGGAACGCAACTGTGAGTTTACTTCTTGTAGTACGTGAATGATAGAGGAGACCATCTTGACACCAAAAGTGTGGGAGGGGGGCATTCGGTATCCTAAAAATCATGTATCGCAACGCACCCTTACAGTACCAACGTTTTTCACTTACCAGAACTACAACTTTAACACAACAAAATTTTCTGCTTTTCCTTCAGGTTGCCAGCTATATTTCGTCTTCCTTTCGAAGACTGGTTCCTCAGAAAACATGGTGAGTCCAGAACAGAATATTTTACATATCTATGTATACAGTACTTACTTTTGCTAATTTCTTTACCTTCTATCAAGTCCATGTACATGTTTTGGTTCCTAACACTAGAGCGAATCTTGATATGGTTTAGATCTGGTAGGGGTTTTGACTGTACGTATATCCAAAGAAATGCTAATTTGGATATATGTAAATTTTATTACATACACCATATGTAGCATTGATTTAGTGTGGAGTCACTCAGTGTTCAATAATAACATACTAGTAGCTTCGGTCATATGCCTGCAATACTGGTGTTTGAAAGCCAGGGGGCGCTTCTGTACACACTTCCTTAGATCCACTCCTGGGGCCGAGTCGGTCCAGCAACGTTGCCGCGTTGTACCGTCGGGAGTGCCTGAGTCATGGGTGTGTGAGAGCAGTACACCTCCACTGTTAGCCTCAAACCCCAGTACAGCTCGGAAGGGCTCTCCCCTACTGCTTCACTGTACTGGGTAGGCTGGCGGTGGGGACACACTTTATATTATAATGTAATAGTACTGTAAATCGCCAAAAAGCAGTTATTCAAGCAACTGGATATGATTTTGGAAACGGTCAGACGTTTCAGCAAGTATCCACTACCTTTCGTCAGTGACTGAGAGACTGACCAGAGGAGAAATGCAGGTTTATAAGCACAAACTATTGATTGATACTGTAATATCTAATACTGTAATATATATCTAATATACTGTAAATCACTGTATGTTTGCGAAAGCAAAAGTTTGCGGTCTGAGAAAAATGGACATGCTCGCAGAACTATACATACGTTCACAGTGGCATCAGGTGCTGGAAAAGAAACTTTGCGAATTACTTGTTCGCAGTTATGATAAGTTTGCGGCACAGAAGTGGTTGCGAAAACTGCGTATAAAAAAACTACCACGGAAAATCGTGATTTACAGTACCCTTGATTATAAAGCGTCACCCTGCTAATATGCATGCCACAGTGTAATGTACATATAAGAATCTACATATAGGTAAGGCAGTGAAGTACAAATTCTTGCAGGAAAGGGTAGGAATGTAGATGTAAAAATTCAAATGGAAACTTAATGTTTCTATTTTTCCCACAGCCTAAGCAGATCCACGAGATCAAGGACTTTCTCCTCACGGCCAGGAGAAAAGATGCCAAGTGTGAGTATAGAAACATCGTAGTGTGAGCTAAACATGGTCTGAGAGTTTACACTTTGTCACCACATATACATATACCGGTATTATATACAGGAAAGCTTGCTTCAAACTTAAAATATTTCAAAGAAACTGTATCAATGTGCATGTTGTATTCAAAACTGACAGAAAGATGCATATTTGCATTGTGAATTGTGTATGTATGTGTATGGTTGTGTGTGAAAGAATGAGTTTGTGTGTATGTATTTCATACTCATAGCCCTCACTTTCTCTATCAACCATTACATGATGCTTGAATTGCATTGTTGATCAATGATCACAATCATTATAATCCTAACCAGACCATGTCCTAATGACTGGTGCAATGATGGAGAACAAAAGTGGTTTCCTGATTTCCTAATGAAGCCATCTATCTCTTGGCTGTGTCTGAGCACCTGTTGTTTTACCTCGTGTTCATGTAACAAGAAGTCTAGTTATACAATAACATGGAAACAGTTTCTCAAGCAACTGGATAGATTTTGAAAACTGTCAGATGCTTCAACTTTTTTTTATTTATTGAAGCACATAAAAGAAAATACAAGACTGTGATGGCGACGCACTCAAGTTAATTACACTTATAATAAGTTATATAAGTGCCACCATCAAAGTTCGAACCAAAATATATATTTATAAAGATATAATACTACATCCAATTCTTTTCCTCAGTAACTATAGGAATCTTGAAGGAAGCTTGAGTAACACTAACAGTTTCTATGTGTATCTCATGACCATAATATCTAACCTTTATTGACATAAGAAGTCTAGTTTTAGCTATACGGCTGCTTAAGTTCAGTACTTTCCTCCTACAGCCGTGAAGATCAAGAAGAACAAGGACAATGTGAAGTTCAAGGTGAGGTGCAGCCGGTACCTGTACACGCTGGTCATCACCGACAAGGAAAAGGCTGACAAACTCAAGCAGTCCCTGCCACCAGGTCAGTAGAAGGAAATCAATCGTCCACAGGCATTGGGAACTTAACTGTGCATTAAGAAGTCATAAGACATTAGGAACAAATCAGTAGAAGACATAAGGAACAGTAGAAGAAGCACAAGACACAAGGAACAAATCTTAAGGATTGGGGAGGGAGTAAAAATGGGGGAAACTGAAGCATTTAGGATAGTTCAAACTTTTAAATTACAAAAAGGCTGGCAAACTCGGTCTCTGCCACCAGGTCAGTTGTATAAACAAGGAACAATCTATGATAGTATGAAGAATTTAGGTCACTTGGAGGGACAGGGTGTGAAATATAATATATGCAGGTAAAATTGAAGTGTTCCAGGTATTTCTGATGGGAGTTGGTGAGAATATTGCAGGATGATAATTGCTATTGACTTTCTCTTTTGATATCTCCCTTTCTAGTAACTAATGCTCTGTCATTGAGTTTATTGAATTGCTATTTAGGGCTAAGTTTTTCTCTTGCATTTTGAAACAATCCTTTACATTTATAGCATAGCCTAGTACTATGCTTTTCATGTATGTTTTCTGTTAATTTTTATGGTCCTTTTAATTTTTGGTCTGTGTCTTTAAAATATTTCCTGTTTTCTTTCTGCAGGTCTGGCTGTGAAGGAGTTGAAGTGAGAAGGAGGAAGAATATAGATGGTCCTGTCGTAAAAATAAAATACATGTAACACTGTACCACTATTGCGTTGCGTTGCATCTTGTGTGTCTCACTGTTGTTCTTGTCAGGCCCTTATCTATATATGAGGTAATTCGTTACAAAAGTTTAAGAAAAAAAAAGAACGGTTTTCCCCTCACAGCATAATCTGTTTGGTCACTTTCTTCTCTTCCTGAAGCCAGAAGGCTAGTACATGCATAACATTACTGAGCCTTACCCAAAGTCCTATTGTGGATGTCAACATATGGGTGGGCTGCTATCTGTTGACCAAAATAGGAAAGGTACTTTCAACTATCAGGAACTTCAGTTAGAACACTTGGAGGGCAATACTCAGATTAAATTTGCTTTAAAATCAGTCAGTTTGCAACAGAAAATATGTGCAACTTGAATTTGTCAAACTAAAATCCGTATATACTATAGGCATGGCATCTTATGGAGCACACGCTACAGATATACAGTACAGTATATTTCGAGCCCCGACTCGGTAACGTATTGTGTTGGTCAAAAGAACGTTGCAATTGCCTTCACCCTTCTAGATGTCAATGAACTTACGTACACGTATGACGTTAACGGTCGTATTCACACATTAAATCCCGTGATGACGACAAAAAGCACCATGTTCCAAGAACAGGAAAACCCTGCACGTGGCTATGAATTATAGATACATTATCCCATGTACCAATCGCATTAGCGGGGACGTCAAAACCGCTTAAGTCCATACCTTAAACCTGCTGAGATCCAGGATGCGGTGGTACTACATATATGCTAATCCGCCCCAATTCGCACAGCCATTGCTAGAAGATTTAATGCAAGACGGGGTTCATGTAAAGAATCCGTGCCAGGAAAAGTGCAAGCACCTTATTAGCAAACATAGCTCCATCAGTCATCAATAGCGAGACCTTCTACAACGAATGCAGAACAAGGCAACTCGTCTGTTTCAGTCGAAGCCACAGTGGAAACCTGTGCACACGAGATTGTTAATAAACACCATGACAACATTTAAAAGGATAACACTCACTAACGAACCCATTTGTATCAGTAGGCAACTGCGTTCGGTCAACAACTTGCATAGCTATAGAACCCGTTTTGCTGCTAAACAGTCTTTTCTGTTAGACAAACCTAGAACTAACGCACGGAAGAAGTGTTTCATGTACAGGGCTGTTAGTGTGTGGAATAACCTTCCAATTGTTATGCAGTCCACACAATCCCTGAGAGTCTTTAAGGAGGGTTTGCACAAATACCTCCATCAGTAGGTCACAAGCACTGTTCGACAGGATTGTCAGTTTTTTAAAATTATGTATATTGTAAATATGTTATTGATTTAGATGTGTTTGTGACTTGTCCAGTTGTCCACTATGTTTGTATAATGTATCGTCTGTATGTACATGTATGAATACCAGGAAGACTAGCGGTGGACCCTAGGGTCCACCGCTAATGGTTATTCCAATAAAGTTTCAAAGTTTCAAAGACCTGCAAGAAAACTTTGACACCTGCTAATGTCCACTTACAACTCACGCCACGTCCTTTTGCTTATTTGATTCATCCGTAAAGTTATTCCAGTTCTCGGGTAACGCCTCTTGAATAATTTATTGTATAATTAGCGAAGGCCGTGCGCAATGACTGTCAATAAGCTAACCGTATTTATACGCTAGTCCTTCCGTCTTAAGTTGTAATTCCACGTGCGATCGCTCCGTTCAACTGAGGGTGCATCTACATTGTCGCAACAGTTTGATACAGAACTTTACGATTAACCATGGAAATGGACCTGAGAATGTATTCTACAAACGTTCGTATGGGTCTTGCGATGCTGGTTGGATGTCTAGGAATATTCGGTACAGCCACAAACCTCTTACTTTTGTGGGTTCTCTACCGACGGAAGGACATCCGAACGTCCGCTACCGTGTACGTGGTCAACCTGACAGCGGTGGACCTGCTAGTGACCACTGTAGTGGACACACTACATGTCCTGGGGATCGCCTGGCCGGAGTTCTACCGACCGGACGCACAGAATTCAAACTCAACGGTCTGTGACATCACAGGTACAACATGACAAATTTTTGGTTAACTTGTATAATGTAAAATTGCTTGATGCTATTCATTGGTGCTAAATGAGTAGGTTACTGTTCAAAACCTAGCAAATGATAATCAAGGCTAACATTTTATGTGATATTGTTTAATGTGGTTTTAAAGACGTTTATTGTATATCATTAGCATTGCTTGTTATTAGATGGCGAATGTAAATAGTGTAGCCTCCGTAGCAGGCTTATAGAACTGGGGGGGGGGGTGTTCTTCGGCTGTTTTCTGATTAGCCCAGTTCTAGTAACGGGGGTAATTCAACCAGGCCGGCTATGTTGTCTATATGCAATCAGAAAATAGCACATAAAATCTCCCTGAAGACCCAAACCCCATAGTTTTTGGCATGCTACGGAGGCTAGTTATATGTTTGTATCTTAGAATGAAAGAGGATTCCAGGAAGAGTAGTGGTGCATTGTCACTAATTGGAAGTTCCTATAAAAGAGAAGTCAACCCCCTTAGACATAGTTATAGACATAGCTATAGCTCTAGACAACTACCTTTTAATGTAGATTTTAGTTATTCTATACTACGTTTCATTGTTCTTTTCTGTTTGTAATCTGCAATTAGCCCCCCGGGCATGAATTTGCAATAAACTTCAATATATATATAATAAACAACAACAGGTAGCCTGTGCGTTGCCGGTTGCGTCATCTCACTAGCCATCACCGCCGTCATCTCCGTCAACCGGTACCTCTTCATCTGCAAACGGCAAACGCACGACGACGTCTTCACCAAGAGAGGCGCTGCGGTTATCGTGGTGGGCATGTGGACCTACGGGCTCGGGTTCGTGTTACCGTTGTGGTTTGGTTGGGGCAGCTTTCGCTACGACCATAAGACCATGAACTGCGCGTACGATCGAACCAAGACCTCCTACACTCTGGTGTTTCTACTCGTCGGACACCTTCTCCCGACTCTGACGGTGTTCGCCTTCAACACGGCCCTGTACCTCAACGTCGTGAAGATCAAGAACAACCTGAGAAGATACCTCCAAGACAGGACGCCACCGCAAGCAAGACAAGGCACGAAGGCGCTACGATCGCTCAGCGTACTGTGCATCTACTTCGTAGTGTGCTGGCTGCAATACGCCGTGATTGTGTTGGCCGATTACGACGACAGATGGCCCGGTGGGGTTCATTTTTCAAGCTTAGTGATCGCGCACTCGAGCAGCAGCATGAACGGCGTCATCTACGCTCTGACGGACAGAAAAGTGAGGGAACAGATCTGTAGAACGTTTCGCAAGATCAGAGAAGCTGGGCCAACGGCGTTCAGCATGAGAAAGGGGCCTACAAGCACGAGGAACGTGTATGTGGTAGCGCTGCAGTCTTTTAACAGGAATATTAATAATGCCAGTGAGTCGGAAGATGCAGAGCCTAGCTTGAGGAGGGCAGTTACGTACGTTGAAACAAACAATTCGTTAAATCCGTCATACCTCTCGAATAAAGTGGGCATTGGGCACGCATCAGTGTGATGACTCTGTATCTGTATAGCCGGTATAACCGCCTTTCGGCGTAACACACCAGCTTACCTACTCTGAGTAACACAGGAAGCTTTTATCTATACAGTGTACCAAGGCAATTTCTTATTGAATCTACCAAACAACTCTACGAATTTGAACAGTACAGGTGTGTTAAGCTACAAATATGGTGGTTAATCAGTAATATATAAGTTCAGGATGAAAGATTCAATGAGGTTACGAAAGTTCGATCAAATCACTGTTCGTATACTGTGGCACTCTTAAATGATTTCCCCTAAAGACATGGACGTAAAAATCTAAAGCTTGGCCTCCTTTGAAGTTATCCACTGTCATTCACGGCCGTTGAAGAGCCTTTGATGTTCAGTGATTTTATGGTCACGCACCGTACGTAAACTTAACCACCAAAGCCGTAACATTGCCCAAGAAAGCCATCAAAGATGACAGTTACTATACATAGTAACACACTTTGAAGTCAGGATTTAGCCATGAAGTTATAGATGGAAAGATACGTGTTTAATGCTATAATAGAACACTTTGCAAATATGTTTCATCAAGTGTATGCGTATATACATAGATATACATGTAGCATGCACGAAACGAAACGTAGAGTGAGATAGAATAAAGTATGCAAATGATAATATTTTTGCATAATCAGGCTCCTGTAGTAACAAGGGTCTTTAAGATAGGACATTTATTTCGGAAAATAGTCATATTTTAGGTGAATCATAGTTTGTATTAATCACGCGTTATTACATGACGTTTGGTGTCCAATCTAGTAATTTGATATTAGTCACAGTACGTCTAGTATGTAATGTGTATGTCCGAGAATGTCACAGGAAATGAATCATAGGAACAGGAACAACATTATCCTCAGAACGTTTTGAAGTGAGGAATAACTCACGTAAGATTATCAATGGCAATATGTAGGTTACATCATATCTATAACACGCACAATGTTTTTATTGAATCAAAATGAAAATAGGCTCCAAGCCATCTCAGGGACTTCAGGGGCAAACGTACTGTTTGTAGATTTATGGATTGTCGTTCGATGACTTCAGATCCTTGCCTTCTTGAAAGGTAATATTAATCATTAAACTATCTTAAGTGCGTGTTTTATGTCCAATATATAATCAGGGAGTTAATAGTCAGAACTATACAACAGTGACTATTGTATACATATGTTGTAGGGTCATTATGCTGACGGACGAATGAATGACCAGAGTCGTTAATATAGGTACCGGTATATAGATGGGACGATAGGTATGTTGTATATACTGAGACGTTTACAGTGATTGTAAAATATCTCAGGACTCGAGGCTATCCCTTGTTAAAAAAAAATGTGTTTAGAAATAAATAAGATTGTAAAAATTGGTTGCATTGTTGATTCTGTTGTTTCCTGTTTGAAAGTTCTGGGGCATCAAAATTATGCGACATCCCACAAACATTGTGAGCGCAATGCAGTTATGCATGATACGATGTATTATTTCTGCTGACGATGACTCTGCAAAAACATGACATGACACCGTTTCTTTCCGTCCATGGAAGCACCTTGTGGCTCTAAATACATGTATCAACTTAAAGCTGAAAGTCTTCCGGCTTCAACGAAAATCAATTCAGATTAAGGCATTTTCGGCACGTATTTTCTACAGAGATCTTATCTTGTCTTACCTTGCCCTGACTGATAATTGGCCTTTAAAGCTTGCATTTTTTTCCTGATTAATTGGCCTTGTTAATTAATTTGTTCCTCACAGGGCTAATCAATCAGAAAGGGGTCAGCTCACTAGAGACAGACGTGTTAGTAAGAGTTATATGGAGGTTTTAGACTAGGGGCCTCTTTACCTACTTTTGCACCTGTGAATTTATGGTCCCAGAGTTAATTCGCACTAAATTAGTTGTAGAAGCATGAAGTTTCCAGAATATTTATAGATATCTTATAAGATATCTTATGGCCTCTTATAGAGGTACATGTAGGTAAACATACTAGTAGTCCCATAGCCTTTTTCAGGGTTGAAAAGTGGGTTGTTCATCCACTGTACCGTATTGGAGGGTGGAGCCCATCCCTCTCCTTCCACCAACTTTTACCTCCCCAACCAAAATCTAGCCTGGTTACAAACCTATTTTATCACTGGCAGCTAAAATAGTTTTGGTAACCAGGCTAATAACCAATAAACTGACCCTAATACAAACAATGTCAATAACTGAACAAACCAAACAAACAAACTGAACTGAACTAGAAACTGTTTCTTTTCTCAGAACAACTTTAAGCATACATAAAACATATCCACAATCTTTACATATCAATTTGAACAAACAAACAAACAAACAAACAAGTAAATAGACAAAGGCCTTTATCCAACACTGTTCCACCAGCTCAGTAGTCCCAGGCCTGGCTCACTGATGGTGCCCTGCAAAATAAAACAAGAAACATCCCCAATATATAGAATGGAAAGTCCCAACAAGCTTTAACTTCTCACCAATCAGAGGCCATGATTTAGACTGTACCATTTTGATTGAGGTGTTTTTATCGAAAGAAACATCCTCAATATAGAGAATGGAAAGTCCCAAGCTTCAACAACCCCACCAATGAGAAACCATGGTTCAGACTGTGCCATTTCAATTGAGGTGTTTTAAATTAAAGATTTTCAAGTCAAGGATAAGCAGTGCTTCATTGCAAACTGATTTTACTACTATCATGAAAGTTCATCTGTGTTGGTAGTTACATATTCAAAGTTAAAACTTTTGATCCAACACAAAGAAGTTCTCTCACCTAGAGCATTCCACCAGATACCTTTGACCCAGTGTTGATGTCACACGTCAAAGAAGCCATGTGACAAGCCTCACTGGGTCAGTCTACTAAAGAAGACCAGGGTGACTGGTATGAATATGAGAAAAGATGAGCTAAAAAGAAATATTTTGAAACGTACCACCAGTGAATATGGCGACTTCTTCGCCTCTTTGTCAGACTCGGCTGCCTCGCTGACCTTTGGCCCCGTAGGGGTCGTGTCTACGAACACTTCGTCCACGACCCGGAAGCGAATCTCCTCATTGATGTCCATGAAGAGGTCGTGTGTTCCCTCCTCTGTCTCGTACTCCCACACCCACACCTGCTCACTTTCATCACTGAGCACCAGTTAAGGCAAATACTGCCGGTGTTGTACACATTACATGTGTGATGTGGACAGCCACTTGCAGAGAAGAGTATGGCGAGTCTCCAGTGTAATCAGTCCGTCCTTTTGTTGCTGAGCTTTTCTAGCTCTTCTTATTGCTTCATATTGCTACCTTATTGCTTTATTGCACAATAAGGTAGCTACTAAGTATGTACCTGACACATATTGTCTAAAACAATTTATGGATACTTTGTGTAAACCTTACAGCACACTTTATGTGATTTGTTGGTGTATCACTCACACTTACTACCCAGATGCAGTTTAACACAGTTGTTCCCCATCTCCCGAGGGTTAGACATGCTTGCATACTGATGCTGAGTCTTGATGGCAGCCTGCCATTTGCCTCTATATCCTAGGCATACACAGGATAGAGACACATGTGAATATAAACAAACAAGACTGGTACTCAAGCTACAGCATCGTTTGACATACGCTAGTGTATTTAAAGCCCCTTGTTATAATACAGACAAGGATACAACTTGGACGGTTGCTGGAGGGCATCGGGTGGGATCAGGATGTCATCAAAGAAACCTAGAGACACTGGGGAATATAAAAGAGTCATGGTGTCATCTTGTAGCTTGTAGCCTGGGTACCATCCTGGTTAGTTAATGTCCTCTCCCACAGTTGCTCCTACAAACGTTGGTGGACGTAAACTAACCAGGATGGTACCCAGGCTAGTCATCTTATAAAACAGTATGAAAACAGTGATGTTTCAACCAAAGAAGAAGAAACAGACCAAAAAGCAATGTGTATTTTCAAAGGTAAATAGAATTGGTCTAGTCTAGTCTACTTACCGTGAACACCTTCCCTACTACAGCTCCGTATTCTACCCTGTAGGATCTCATCCATGAAGGGTCGAAACACCACGTATCTGAAATGCACTGGAACAAAAAAATAAAACATTAGGTTAGGGACATCCCTCGGATAGGACGTTAAGTGAAGGTCCCGTGTTGGGGAGAGCCACACCCCACGCACGTTTAAGAACCCACCACACCTTTTGAAAAAGTGTGGAGTTGAGGCAGTGCAGTGTGTGATGGTCCAAACTCTACAGTCCAGACTTGGCGATTCATTTCAAATCACCAGTGTACTGGCAGAGTCATTGGCAAGTTGATGTTGGCTGCCTTAACCCCCAAAGATGACATTTTCTCTATAATCCACAGAGTGAGTATACTAGCTATAGTCTAAGGGGTGGTCCTTTATAACATTATGTAGGATTAGTGCTGAGACTAATTACTAACTACATTTTCATATTCATGGTCCACCATTATGTCACCTTGCCTCCATATATAGCAATCAAAAACTGGGGGTTTTGGGGGTCTTCATGGTCTTTGGGAACTTTTATGTGCTATTTTCTGATTGCATATAGACAACATAGCCGGCCTGGTTTAATTACCTCCATTTACAGCCAAAGACCACCAAACCCCCAGTTCTATAAGCCTGCTATGGAGGCTACATGTCACTTACCTCTTGTGTGAGATGCCCCGTCTCCTGGGAAAATGAAAGAATCTTCCAGCTTTGTGATGTCAAACAGAGCTATGCACAAGCCCACATTGTACACAACCTGGGCATGGGGAAATAACACACAGGTGTAGCAGGCTAAACAAACATTTATATGTATTAATAATACTATGCTATATAATACTATATAATTTATATATCTCCTAAAATCAAATAGATGCAGCTATCAATCAAGCAACAAACCAAAGAACCAAGTAACCAACCAGAAAGCCAGCCAACCAACCAAACAACCAACCAAGGAAGTGTCTATTGACAGGACCATCCTACATTGTATCATGCATTTTCTTCTGTTATTGACAGGATGGTCCTGTCAAAAATTTTTCATTTAGGCAACAATCAAAGAATAAAAAAATTCAGCAACCAACCTTCCAACTAACAAATCAAGCATGCAGTCAAGCAAGAAAACAACCAAACAAATCAAGCAACCAACCAAGGAGTTTATACCAACCAACGAAAGAAGCAAGCAAGAAAGCAATCAAGCAACAGCGCAACCAACACCTTGTTTGCAAATTTGTTGTTGAGCTCCTCAATGACTGCGTCGTTAAGTTTGATGTGGAAGAGATGAGGCGGTATCCTGACAGTATCAGTCATTTCTACCAGCGTAAACATGCCGCACGTTTGGTTGGGATTTCTTCCTGCACGCGCCTTAAGAAATGAACTCTGACCTCAGCCGGAAAACGTCACAACACTTCTGTCGTAAAATATCGTTCGTATGTGAACGATTTCAGCGTGTTTTTTCCTGTTTTATCTGCAACAAATGATGACAGATTGTAGATTTAATTTTGTGATGGTTAAAATGACTGCAATTCGGTAGAAATTAAGAGACGAGAGTTCAAAACCAATATTTTACGTCTTGCGGCAAAACGTGTAGTTGCTGATGTAAACAACATGGCGGACGTGAAGTTTTTCTGCCGGTGGTTCGAAGCGTTTTTCGTGATTTCCGTCCAGTTTTGCGTGAGGTCAGAGGACGCGGACGCACACAAACTTTTATACTCGAACGGAGGATGGTGAGGAACGTTTTATTGTTACAATATACCGGTTAGAACGGTAGAAATAGGAGACCTAAGCGAACATGTGTCGTTATAACTTACTTCCGGGTTTGCCCACAGTACACAAACACACGTGCGGTCTTCCCATTGGGCACAGCACAGTAATAGGGCTTTCCTATGTTAATATATGGGAATTATGTCAAAACAACGTGGTCAACATTCATATACCTGAGTTTTAGACCTTGAAGAACATACATTGGCAGGGTAGGCCAACCTTTCAAGTCTCCATTCCCAAAAAATGACAAAATCCTACGCACCTAAACCATGCGAGAATTCTACCCAAACATTGAGAAGTGACCCCTGACCTCTCTGGACAGCTGATGACCGCATGTAAACCTATATCTTCTTCAGCCAGCCAGACAACACAAACATGGCTGCAAGTCTGTTTTTTCACCAAAATTAAAATACTACAACCCTTACCTATAACATCCAAGTCCAAAACAACAACATTTCCCTAGAAAAAGACTTCTTTACACTCTACATTACATTGCCATCTCTATATACTAAAACTGGGCCCTCTGCGCCTGCGCTATTACTAACCTTTGCCCCATTGGCTTGTGCCGTATGTGTGTGAACACGCAGTATCCTTAATTATAATGCACGATGATGTTTTAAAATACAGAATGATGTATTCTCTGTTGTTGTTTTGAATCCAGCTCAGTTCCACTGAGACAATATTAAGAAATTTGCTTCCCAGCGAAGCACCATGGCCAACAGAGCATAGGCGGCAGAATCTTCAATAATTCGGTTGTGAAGGCGCCGCCGCCTCTTAACAAAAGAAGGAGAAGTAACACCTTAAAATCTCCAGCTTGAAGATATACTACAAGTACGGTTCGAAGGTTGTATGTGCAAACGCATGAGCGGGAGGCATTGAAGATAATACGTCAATTTTAAAGTTGAAGTCCCCTGACATAACCTGAAACACACCTCGATATTTCTTCACCACCTTTATTTCTTCACCATAGGAACAGTATGCTGGTGGAATAGAATACCGGAAGAAGTGATTACAGCTCCCAGCGTGAACTGTTTCAAAACCAGATTTGATAAACATATGAGACTACACCCAGTAGTATACAACTACAGAGCCCTGGATCATCCCATGCGACCTGAGATGACTGTCGGCTGAAGTCAAGAGCGGCCCAAACTGGAAGATATTCCTACCTGGCCTGAAGGAATCTACATCTACATCTACATCGATATGGTATCAAGCAATGGTCTAGACAACAATTGTTTACATGTTGACATTATTCTCCTCCCCTCTGCCAGGTATACGGACACAGAGAACCTGATCGCCCAGCCTGGACCCTGCAACATCGACATCAGGGACAACTCTCTCACACAGGGAGACTTCATAGAGAAGTAGGTAATTGCAATACATGTATATAATTAAGATCATGTACATTCATACTGTGTACTACACAGCTATCAATACGGTAGTAGATCAGTATAGAAAAGACATAATCCTAGATCTATTGCTTTTATCATAGCATGATGTTATGTATGTATTTCCAACTTTCAGATATGCTGAAAAAGCACCTGTCATATTCAGAAGTGTCACAGACAACTCCGTAAGTATCTATAATAAACTCAAGATAAAAACCAAGAAATCCAGAATACATACATTTGAATATAATGAGTTTGGGGGTCAGATTCGACTTTCCAATTTTTTTACACTTAGTCTGATTTGAAAATAACTTTCATCTTTTCTCAGAATTTCAGAAAACTGTGCTCCAAGTCTTTGTTAGTAGAAAACTATGGAAGCAAGGAAGTCATTCTCAGCTCTGCAAACACTTATTCCTACACAAAAGGTGAACATTACATTTCATATACATGTACAAACAAAAGATTTCCTTAACATGAATTAAGGCAATCAATGTACAATGTACATTGCATAATGTTGGTTTCTATGATTTTTGAATCAATGCAGAAGCAATAATGAAAACAAATAGAATAATTAGTAATAACCAGTGCAACTACTTATAACTTGAGCACTTGAGATAGAACTTTGACTAGTCTGAAATTTAGAACACTTAATGTTATTAAGTAATAATAATACTGTTGCAGATGAACTTACATGTATGTATTTTTGCCTCTCCCCAGTGCCAGTCAGTTTCCAGCATTATGTGGAGGAGATTCTACAACCTCAGGATGCCAACACACTCGGCAATGGTAAGGTTGATGATAAGAATGATTGACATACATATGGTCATTGCTATATTGAAAGCAAGCTGCAAGGTGACTTATAATTTACTCTTGACAATTTGTACTCATTAATTCGGTGTCGCTTTTGTACTGATTCATATCTGAATCACTACAAAAGCGACACCATATTATGACAAACTGACATATCTCCTGAATCACAAAATTTAATAATACTCTTCTAACGAAAACACAATAGATTAGCTTTAGTATCACTATAGACTAGCTCTGACAGAATTCTATTTTAGCATAGTTCATGTATCTACCCCTGTTGTTTCTTCTTTGCCATACATTGTACCAGTTACAGTTGTTGAGCAATTAAGTCGATTGATTGATTGATTGATTTTCGATTGATTGATTGATTGGTTGATTTTATACACACAGGTTGTAGGCTTGCCTGCCCTACCCCAGCACCTCTGTTCCCCATACTTTATCCCTGATGGGGTCATATTAGGGTTATCTAATATACTATGATGATGACTAATGTTTTTATTTTCACCTACACCTGTCAGAAACTCTGTACCTGTTTGGAGACCAGAACTACACCGAGTGGAAACCACTGCTAGATGAGTACATACAGCCTCCCTACTACCTACCTGGACACACGGGTGCTCTCAGCTTTGGACTAGCAGGTGGGTCAATATAGTACACGTATCAACATTAGGAATATTTTCCATAGTTGCTAACAGTAGTGATGAACAAAAATGTGTTAATTAAAAGTTTTTGTTGGATTACACAATGTGTTTGTATGATTTTGCTATGGCATAATTGTTGTATTGACTATTTTGTACACTTGGAACATATTTGCCTTCCATAGTAGTGCATATAATTTGTATCATAATCATCAATAGTGAGTGGGTTGTATGTGGATGAGAGGATGGGTGAATAAGTGACTAAGTGAATGTGGTAAGGTTAATAATACTTATAAGAAGACACCAACATTTTCCTTTGATTGCCTGTTATGTGGCCGCACAGTCCTTTCCATCTCTTTATGTTTTCTCCACCAGACCACTCCTTCTTTATACTTCTTCCACTTTCCTGTCAGATTGTTATGGGGTAAGACTCTGTCTTTACTGATCAGAATCTCTCAGTCACATGGAATTTGATAGTGTCCTAGAAAGTAAACATAGAACTTTTGCTAGAACTAAATGCACTTTTTTTGTTTTCTCTATGAATTTTATTCATTGATCCTGGGTTCATCAACTCTCTAAACATGGACAAAAAAACTGTAGAGAATTTATAAAATGGAAAATGTTAAGAATGTCAATATTCTGTTCTTCAGGTGCAGGTACAGGAGTGCCCTTCCATTTCCATGGACCAGGCTTTGGTGAGGTCATCTATGGTAGAAAGGTATGGAATTTTAAAATATAGCAGCTTAATACATGTTAACTGTAATAATACAAAAAAAGTGCACTCAAATCTGTCCGGAGTCCCTTTTGACATACAATTAGAGCAGAGAACTGGCTGTAGTTCAGACAACAGAGAAGTAATTTTTCTCAAATTTGATCTAGACTACAGTATTTATATCCCTGAGCTGGGAACTTGTAAGGATGAGCCCAGCAAAGTTTGAAAGATTTTTGTTGGTGAACTTTCTGAATGCTTTAAAAGTGTGAAGAGATAAGATTTCAAGGGTTATAGCAGGAGGTTAAATTCAAGGCTTGTATTTAACCCCTTGTATTTAACCCCTTCTATTTAATCTCCTTGGTTATAGTTGTTCTCTAATGATAAGATCCTGTAAATCATAATTTTTCCACTGTTCCTTATTTGGTCTTTTCCTCTCCAGAGATGGTTCTTGTATCCCCCTGAGCAGCAGCCTGAGTTTAACCCTAACCGCACCACCCTGCAGTGGTTACTGGAGAAGTATCCACAGCTGGAGGAGTCAGACAAGCCGTATGAGTGCACCATCGGCCCTGGGGAGGTTAGCTATACATGTACTTTTTTTCACTTCACCTGATTTAGTAGCGAGCATAATCTCCAAGCAGATCTTTTGGTGGGGGTAAGACAGTATCAAATTGGCCAGTCTGTAACCATTTCCCCACAGACTGGTCAATTTGATACTGTCTTACCCCCACCAAAAGATCTGTTTGGAGATTATAGAGAGCATGCAGAGAGCTGATAAAACAAGGCCACGTAGCACTTTGAGTTTGTTTGTTTAACATTAACAGGTAATCCACCTTAGACTTTAAAGGTGTAACACACCAGTTTTTTGTATGGTTATACAAGCTGCACAATGCTGGACTGTAAGGTTTGGTCCACTCACACTGGGATAGACACACTCTTTTTGATAGGAACTATGTTTGAATGTGCTAGATTAATGTGTGAAGACAATTTTATGGATTCTGCTCACGAATAGATCATGACCTTCCTTTTTAACAGTCTATTGCAGCAGAATATAACATACATGTGTGCCAAGGCACTTTTGACAACTAGTGACTAGTGTATGCCAAATAGGATTGAAGCTGATGATTTTGTCTTGTTTGTTTTCCAGATTATCTATTTCCCAGACCGGTGGTGGCATGGCACGTTGAACATCGACACGTCTGTGTTTATATCAACATTCCTGGGTCTGGCTCCATGGATATGACAGCCATCAGGTCTCTGGAAAAAGTAATAAAGGAGTGTTTTATCTACACAGATGTACTTTCTTCAACTGGGTCCATGTACACAAATGTATTAAGTGTAACAGAAAACACTCATTTATGGTGGCAAGGTGGTCTTGTTTTTGGGACTGGTTGTTTGAATCCCTGGCAGGCCTCCCCCATATTGTGCCGTTGGGAAAGGCACTACGCACCTGTTTCCTAACTCAACTTGGGCAAAAATTTAGCACCTTGGTACACTTGGGTTAAGGATGACATTTTGCAAGGTCCCGTGTTTGAGGAATGAGAGCCACATATTTAAAGTATGTTAAAGAACCTATAACTCTAATATCAATAAGAGGGGTCCTTCCCAGTGTGAGTGGTTCAAACAGTCTTACAGTTTGGTCTCAGGTTTGACATCTTGAAGAGATGATAATCACCTGTTATGTGAATCCTTCCACAATTGTGGTAAATCTCAATACATAAACAAACAAACAAACACACAATCCCACACACACATATACATTTGTACTAGTAAACAACATTTTTAAGAAAATCTAACTTTATTCCATTCCAAGCAGGGAATGCAATTGTTTCGTTGCTTTGGACATATTTTACAGATGTTCACACTATTCTTCATATTCATAGCTTACACCGTTTTAACATTATCTTGCTGAACTCTGTTAGAATATCTTTATTGTTTGTACATGGTAGAATCAGGGTTTCTCTAAGCAACAACAGAATCTAGCTGTAAACCAGTAGTAAAATCATGCTATAGACACCATAAGATGCGAAGTATAACAAACAAGCCATGGCCATATGTTCCAGAGATGCACAGCTCACATTTTATCATTTTAGCAAATGCAACTAACCTATAACAGTTTGATGGTAACTGAATAGGAGTAAAGTGACAAACGTAGAAGAAATGTGACCCATTAGAATACCCAATTAGCTAGATAACTAGGCATATCTGTAGACTATGTTGTGGACATGGAACTTTGTAAGCTCCAAAGGATACTTTACAAAAGACTTTTTGCATTGCAATTTTTATAAACTTAGGTTATGATAGTTTTTTTTTTTTACAGAAATGATGTTATGCCTAACTTTTAATAAACCTCCATAACAAAAACATAAATTACAACTAAATACAATGTTTATCTTCAAAATGAAACATCAAGAAAAAGGAATGACTAAACAAGTAACCTAGATCTGTCTACTGAATATTATCACTGTGTGCGACAGTAATATTGACCGTTCTGAGTCAAATAGTTAGTTGTAGTATGTACAACATCATACAATATTAACAATGAACCCATCTACTGTAGTACCTCAGTTGTCCAAAAAAACTAAGGTATTTGCTACAATGCTTACTTCAACCGAAACTAATGCAAAATGCATTTACTTTCATTGTGGTTTTATTTTATTAGTTTGACGGTCTCCTGAAAGTAACTGTATATACAGGACCCATTTTCACCCATTGAAGTCTCAACACCATTTGACTTTAGTGAGAAAGTTTCAAATGTGCTGATGATCATGATACTACAACTTTCTATTACGTTATTTTAACCAGAATTCAGTTTTTTAGGCATGCAAAGTGCTATTGCCTCTTAGTTCCATCATAACAGTTTATACTAGTCGTTACCAAATATCTTTGCCTGGTACTGGAAGCTGCTAGATTTGTGCTGTTGAAGTTAGTGGTTATCTACCCCCTGTAGATTATATTTCCGGCTGTTGAAGTTAGTAGTCGTCCACCCACTGGTTATCCTTGACAAAATGGTCGATGACCTCTTTCATGGCTAGGTTAGGGATCAGCTGATCCTTGGTCAGTTGTTGCCTAGTTACGGGGTCAAAATGGCCGACCCGCTGCAGAAAAACAAAAACGTAGAGTGTAGAGAGTACAAACAAACAAACACACAATAAACATACCACATCAACACATTGGTAATACTAATAGTAACATACAACTTTGGTACCTGTTTGTTTTTAAGTTCCAACTGTACAGCATATCACACGTTGCATAAAATTATGCACTTACGTTACAGCCAAATAAAAAAATTTTCTGTGTCACCTGTGAATTTTTTAGATCCAGACTTTTGTGTCAGTTTTTTGGTGCAACATACATACTTCAACTGTGAAGTTTTTATATAGAGCAATGGTTTTTTATAAACGATAATTAGACCCAGTGTTGACGTTACACTTCAAAGAAGCCACATGACAAGCTTCACTGGGTCAGTCTACTGAAGAAGACCAGAGTGACTGGTCGAAAGCTTTAGGTGATAGAATTTTTTGTGTTGGACCAAAAGTTTTAACTTAGTCTTTAGACAGATAAATAGAAAGCTTTATAGGAGTCCATGTAGATACATGTATCAGTTTTTTTTTTGTTGGCACACAATAATCGTTACTTTTTTATGCACATAGTACTTTTTTTTTGCACACAGTACTTTTTTTTTGCACACAGTACTTTTTTTTTGCACACAGTACTTTTTTTGCACACAGTACTTTTTTTTTGCACACAGTACTTAACCATTATGTACCTGTAGGTGTTCCTCGATGTCTTTGCGATCGTACGTGATACCACTTGGCGTTATTACAGGATCTCTCATCAGTTCAAAGCTAATCTGACAACATAGAAAGTCGGGGACGGCTCTCGTCTACGTACACAAAACATAAAAAGACGTGGTTACCACCGAGTGTCCACAGGGGAGTGTGCAGAAGGCAGGCAGTCGTTTTCCCACTACGGAGGTATGTGTTCTCCGAACTCTAGATTTTTTTTTGCTGTGAGTTCAGACTGAACAGGTCTAACTTGTACATGAACATCCCTAAGTGTTGTTTTTTTAAATCGAATTTGGGTTTTACAAATATTTTTCACAATGTACAAATCTTCGACAATATATGCTTTTTTTTCATGTGGCTCCACATAAGAATCAACTGGTGAGGTCAATTTACCAAAAGTTGTTGAAGTTTTCAAATATTTGGGCTAATTTTGATTCCCAGAAGGTTTTGATTCCCAACAGATTTTTCAACAAAAGTTGCGACAGAAAAGGACCAAAATTTGGTGGGCAAAAGGACCATCTGTTTCAGTGTTTGTCAGTGGTAGAAATACTTTTTTTTCAATGTTCTGCAATATTGCAGTTGGGTCAAAATTTAGTTTCGAAATTTGGAAACATTTACACAATCCTCCATACTACAATTGCAATCTACTCAACCTAATGCAAAATTGCAAAATTGTGTGATTTTTTCTTCTGTAATCTTGAAAATCTCTCTGCAAAATGCAGATGGGTATTTCAACACTGTTTGTCAATGTATTCGAAGCTTTTCTTTCAGAAGAAGAAAATGACGGAGTGACTTCTGCACAGGGTCCGAGGGAACACCTCCATCCCAACATGCAGCAAGGACATACCTGCAGGTGCTCCTCTAAGTCTTTTCGATCATACGTGATACCGCTCGGGGTTATACACGGGTCCCGCATCAGTTCGTAGCTAATCTTACCACACAGATAATCTGGAACCTCTCGCTTCTGAACACACATTGGGGGAGAAGAAAAAAACGGAAAATCAAAAAAATGTATTTTTCTAAAGGCATCCAATGTGATTTTAGAGCAGTAAAACTGGAAATATTATGAATAGGGCAATCTTTATGATATTGACACACAATGCTTCACATTAGCACATTTCAATTAGTATTTCATACTTTGGATACTTAAAACTGCAAAAACAAGCCCCAAGATGAGTCCTTTATTTTAGGGGAGGTACCCTAAAAAACAGCCCTTCCATTCCATCAGAATTTTGGGAATTTTTGCTCCATGAGGGTCAATATGCATTTGGATAGTGTGGTTTAAACTCTGTATGTAGATAAGTAACTAGAATATTGACTTTGAAAAATAGGGTTTCCAAGCCCTAAAAACTACACTGGATGCCTTTATTAATCTTCCCTCTGCTAACTGTGAGTGCAATTGTACTGCGTATGTCAGGGAAAGATGGTTGAATGTTAATCGAGTGCCACTGGTTTTGCATTCTCATTGGTTTATATAGGATCGGACCAATAAGAAGGCATTTATCATCACCATAAAAAAATAACATGATTAGAAACCAGTCAATCCTCAGGGACCTACTACCCAATGACCTTATATTTCTATAAAACTATCATATCTGTAAGTCATAAAGGTAATACAGTAACTGTATTCCTCATACATGTATAAATATGACCTAGAAGGAAAGATACATGTATGTCGCAATTATTCAAAGGCTACAAAGAAGTAATAAAAGGAAACCAAGGGAAGATTTCCTTTCCAAGGTGCAATTTAACTATTCAGACTTATTAAAAAAGATGTCTTCACATTAGTTCAGTTAACTGTGTGGAAACAACTGAATACAACTGAGTATAACTGATGCCCGAGTCTAACTTACCCTTCGTCTTTCATCCACTTGTGAGAATAATGTGTTCAGTTCGGCCATATAATGGTCCTGGGGGGTAAAGACAAAAATAATCATAAAATTAAGAGCAGACAATGAATCAGATGATTCTTTAACGATCCTCAAAGATGCAAACTTTTAAAATCACACACTCTCTGAGACAAAGATCTTAAAATGCTGGTTGTAGTTAAAGATATGTTTAAGATGAAGGGATACTCACATGTGTTTCTTCTATTCTTTTTATTTCATCAAGACATTTGTCATTGTCACTGCCTTCTTCCATAACTTCTGCTACTTCCCTGGAAGACAAAAGTCATATACATGTAATTAGCAGAAGAAATACAGCATTCTGTCTGTCAATCTCCCCCACCCATGTGCTGTCAACCTACACTGTCCAGACAAACAGACACACAATCTCACAGCTCAGGCACCCAAAACAATAGTTGTGTATCTGGAAGCAATAAACTTTTTTTTGTAGAAAATACCTTAGCATTTAGCAATTCCATGAAATGTAGATAAGATACATGAACATGTATAGACAACACATCTAATAAGTTAAGGCCACACCAATTTAATTTGTTGGTTCTCGGATTTTTTCAGAAAAAATATGAAGCGACAGGGCGAAAAAAAATAAAATAAAAACAGGTCTAGGCATCCTATTATAGGCTTAAATGCTACGAAATGAGCTATGAAGTCAACACAAAAGGCTGGGTTAAAATTTAAACATTGAATTTTGAACTTTTAATCAAACCACTGCAATGATAGATGGGAAAACTGTAACAAGTAGGAAGAAAAGGACTTTCCTCAACTGTTGGGGGCAAAACATGAGCATTTTTCAGTTGATACAAGACCAGAATCAAATTTTTTTTTTTTGCAAATCAGAAAAAAACGAAGAGGCGAATCCGAGAACCAACAAATTAAATTGGTGTGGCCTAACGTTCACAATTTGAGGTAAATATTTCTTGCATATGTTGATGAATTTAGGTACTTATCAAGGTAATAAGATACACCAAACAACAGTTACTCAACCAACTGGATATGATTTTGGAAATCAGACATTTCAGATAGCATCCACTACCTTTAGTCAGTGACTAGTGGATGTTGCCTGAAGCGTCTGCCCATTACCAAAATCATATCCAATAGCTTGAGTAACTGTTGTATGGCATATCTCTTGCACAATGTCTTCTGTATCTGTATCTGTAGCGCCAGTATAACCGCCCTTCAGTGTAACACACCAGCTTCACAGGCACACGGTGCGGCGGCAGTTGGCTACATTACACTGAACGACTTGTTACACCTAACCCTTGAACATCTAACTCTAAACATTGTTTAAAGCTATCTAATGATAATGCCTCTACTGCACTTGGTGACAGCGAGTTCCACTCTGCGATAGTTCTAGGAAAGAATGAGTTTTTGAACACTTACTTTTCCTTTCCGTAAATAATTTCATCAGGTTGGAAGATACTTAGGATATAGAATTTTCTTCTTACACAACCATAGAGCCACCTACATTGGCGTTAAATAGCGGCGAGTTGCAGAACTCCAGTCAGAAGCTCTGAGGAAGGTGTCTGATAGACATCGAAACGTAAGCAGGTGAGAAACTCTATGGTTGTGTAAGAAGAAAATTCTATATCCTTACTTTTCCTTTGCAGCTATGAGTAGTTTGTTGAGATAGGACTGTAACTCGATCTCCTGCTCTATTCTCTTCTCCTCCTGGACACTCCAGCGTTTTTTTCTGGCCATCCTCAACGCGCTGGCGATGTCATCCCCGTAGTTCAGCTTCTGTTCCTTAGCTAGCTCATGAGCTGTGGGAAGGATATTATACACAATCATGTACTTAGGTCCTGCTCTGTGGTCCTGCACTAGAATGCAAAGATTTGCTTGCAAATGTTGAATATTTCCCTTTCCATCTTTTCATGTACATGTACATGTCTGTAAGAATCTCGAATCATTTTTGGCAAGAAAAGCACAAATGTATCAGAAAAAAAATTATTTTTAGCCTCTACCAGGCTTTGGGAAGTGACTGGAAAGAGTAGAAAATGGCCAAGCACACAGATAATATACCAGGGGACTAACATCCTTGCTTAGTGCAGACCAACTGCCCTGGCCCCGGCATATGATCTGGTGTATTACTCTGAGGGGTGGTTATACCAGAACAGATACAGATAATAGATCTGTTTATTTGGCCAATTTCTTCTCTTTCCAGCTGCTTCCAGAAGACTGGTAAAGGCTAAAGATACATCTGGACAATTTCTAATCTTTCCAGCCACTTCCCAAAGACAGGTAGAGGCTAATGATACACTGTACGAACCTCTCTGGAAGCTTTTGATAGCCTCGTCGTGTGCGTCCTGTTCCATGAGACACTGCCCCAGGAAGAAGTGCCCCTTGACCGACCTGTTGTCCAGCTCGAGCGCCCGTCGGCAGTCCTGCGCGGCCAACTCCCACTGCTGAAGCTTCAGGTAGCACAGGGCGCGGTTCGTGAAGTACGTCGCTACCGACTGGTTCTTGATCTAGTTGTATGAGAAATGGTAAACATATTGAGGCCCATTTGGAGCACATCGGCAGAACGTACTGCACCTGCGCGAAACCTGTTATGTGTTGTACATAGCACTTTGGTAGAACGTCTCATATAAGGTCGTAATCGCGCATATAAGGAAAACATCTCGTCTGTAGTTTCCAAATGTTGTGTTGGAAAAGATATCCTCTGCAACAGGCAAAATTCTAATGCAACGTTGACCAAAAATCCACCGAAAACCGTGAAAATACAGGGTTCTGTGCAGGCGCAGTACGTTTCGCCGACGTGCTCCCATTTTGTGGTGTGTGTAGTGTAGGTCAATTGATAGAATACAAAATGTTGGTTGCCATTTTAGATTAAATGATCTTATAAAAGGAAAACACAAATCAATACTAATATCCTAAAGCCTGGCTACACCATTTAGATCATGGAGGTAGAAAAGAGATTCTACCTCCAACTTTAGATTAACAATGACATTTCTGCATTCAATGTACTTCCAGGGACGTGTATATTCATTATACTTGAAGTCTTCATTTTCGATACATGCATATATTTGCATAATGCTGGCGCTTATTAGCACAAGCAACACATTGCCACCACTGCTATGATTGACCTTTCGGTCACACTAAACCATACCTTAATGTAATAAATTTATTAAAGGTTATCAATCAATGTTAATTTTTGCTGGGTGTCATCAAATTTTGTATCGGTTGTAACATTATGGGTTGTACGTTGCACACACACACACACACATAACTGTTACAATCATATACTGATATCTGTGTTACAGAAAGTCGAAACGATGTGAGAAATACGCAAAACTCTTATTTGTAAATACAAGAACTGGTTAACAAATTATATTTTGTAGAAGAGCCATAAACTTACGATCGCCTTTGTGTAACATTTTATAGCATCGTCATATCTTCTGGCACTGAAGAATCGATTCCCTTGGTCCTTAAGCTCCGTCGCACTCATTTCTAATCCTAAATGTTGTTAATTTTGGACCAGAGAAGGGTAGGAAACTACTAGAACCTTCCACGGTAAAAACAACTCATCTCGGGCAAAAGGTTCCGGGTCGGAGTTTAATTCTGACCAGAGTAAGTGCGCAGTAAATCGCCGGAAACGTGACTTTGTATGGTATGTTTTGGCCGCGATATCCCTGAAATCGTAATATCTATGTACATATCTTTGTATTTTCTGAAAAGCCTGTTAGTTGTAGCCTTTATAGGTGGCGTAATGTTGGTGGTCCAGCTAAGACTTCCTGGTATTCGTCCGCGCGGATGGTTATGTGGCCTTTTCGCCTGACCGCCGGGATGGTACGTTCTATATGCGTTCTGGGTGTGTTCGGGCCATCGAAGATAGCGATAAACTTATCGCATCGATTTTAATTAAATTCAAATTTTGGAAACATTAGGTTCTGAGCTTCTTCGAGTACTAAGCCGTTACCCTGGGAAAATTCGTTTTTTCCATGCAGCCATGGTTAAAAATGACGAAAAAAATGACCCCGTTTTTCAAAATGTACTTTGATGTGCCTCATTTACCCCTAAATAAATTGGGCGCAGAAAATATCAATCAAGTGTATTGATAAGCGGCACGGCACCCCTTTCCACCAAAAGAGTGAAAAATTCCGACCCGCGTTTAGTACAGAAATGACAGCCCGTCGGGCTGAGGGTGTCAAATTGCTCGAAATACGGAGGGAAACTCCGGTCCGAGACCAAAATGGCTGACACCAGGAAGTGGGCGTCCCGACAGTCTCTAGAGGGTAAAGGTCAACGGGATTTCGCGGGAAATTTAAAGTGTGTCCTGGTTACCAGCATCATGTCGTGTGTTTGTTCCAGAACCGGTAAACCGTCTCATACATTTGTGTTTTCTGTCTTTCTCATTACAGGTTTGCGATAGCAAAACCTGTTCTATTTTACCTGGATTTTATGGGCGCCGCCATTTTGTTTCCCGTCATGCAATGGGGCAGGTCAAAGTTGAGTGAGGTGCATTGTGGGACCTGTCACAGGCCTACAGTGTAAGGACGACACCTAGCGGTATGTTTGGAAAGAGCAGTAATTGAAAGCCTACCTGGTTGTGTGTTCATTTTGGCAGAAGTGTATAGAGGCGATGGCTTTGACGTAATAAAGGCGAGTCTGATTGTGTTTAGCACTTGACGTAATTTTCTTAGCATGACGGGAAGGAAACTTGGCGGACCTAATGCGGCGGAACTTTAAAGTTGTTTTTTTTATGATGAGATGGTGAGGCTTTGGTATTAGTAGGGTGGTCTTGAGGATCTTGTCGAGGCCGAGCCTAGGGACGACAGATTGTCCTCAAGTACAGGGGTTAGTAGGTGGGATAAGTGGCATGAAGTTTTGGTATGAGTACACTTCCTGATTTCAAGTTCATTATGGAAATTGTAAGTTTTTTTTCAAGCTTACCAGTC